GTAGTAGTAGTAGTAGAAGTAGTAGTAGAAGTAGTAGTAGTAGTAGTGGTAGTAGTGGTAGTAGTAGTTGTTGTTGTTGTAGCAGTGGTGGTGGTAGTAGTAGTAGTAGTGGTAGTGGTAGTAGTAGTAGTGGTGGTGGTGGTAGTAGTAGTAGTGGTAGTAGTAGTGGTAGTGGTAGTGGTAGTAGTAGTAGTAGTAGTATAAGTAGTAGTAGTAGTAGTAGTAGAAGTAGTAGTAGTAGTAGTGGTAGTAGTGGTAGTAGTGGTAGTAGTAGTAGGTAGTAGGTAGTAGGTAGTAGGTAGTAGGTAGTAGGTAGTAGTTAGTAGTTAGTAGTAGGTAGTAGTAGGTAGTAGTAGTTAGTAGTAGTTAGTAGTAGGTAGTAGTAGTAGGTAGTAGTAGTAGGTAATAGTAGTAGGTAGTAGAAGGTAGTAGTAGTAGGTATAGGTAGTAGGTAGTAGGTAGTAGGTAGTAGGTAGTCGGTAGTCGGTAGTCGGTAGTAGGTAGTAGGTAGTAGGTAGTAGGTAGTAGGTAGTAGGTAGTAGTAGTAGTAGTAGTAGTAGAAGTAGTAGTAGTAGTAGTAATAGTAGTAGTAGTAGTGGTGGTGGTCGTAGTAGTTAGTAGTAGTTAGTGGCAGTAGGTGGTAGTAGTAGGTAGTATAGGTAGTAGAGGTAGTAGAGGTAGTAGTAATAGTAGTAGTAGTACTAGTAGTAGTACTAGTACTAGTACTAGTACTAGTACTAGTACTAGTACTAGTAGTAGGTAGTAGTAGGTAGTAGTAGGTAGTAGTAGGTAGTAGAGGTAGTAGAGGTAGTAGTAGTAGTAGTTGTAGTAGTAGTAGTAGCAGTAGTAGTAGTAGTAATAGTGGTAGTGGTAGTGGTAGCGGTAGCGGTAGCGGTAGCTGTAGTCGTAGTCGTAGTCGTAGTAGCAGTAGTAGTGGTAGTAGTAGTAGTAGTAGATCAGCCATGTCTTGAGCTTGTTTGGAAGATATGTTTCAGATACAAGTGGGGCACTGGCTTCGTAGCACAGGTTTGTCTACATTTACGTTATCGTTTGGTTATCGTTTAGGTTATCGTTTGACTACAGCTACATTTCGGACAAACCTGTCGCCAAAGTCCGAAGTCAAATACGGCTTTGGGAAAGGCTATACTAAGCAGAAACGAGGTTCCCTGATGGTCTTCATGGCTAAAAAGCTGTACTGCAGCTATGCAAACTAAGCCTTCCTACAATTAAACATGACGCTATCAATATGTTATCGTTTGTTGATGAGTGTATTATCGTTTTCCAAGTAAAATGCAAATTCTGCAATCCCAATGTCGGGTCCTTTACTAAATACCTTTGCGTAAATAAATCAGGTTGCTCATATGCAGGTGGGTCGACTGAAAAATTGCCACCGGACCCACCCCCAAAAGGACTCGTGCCTGCCCCAGTCATAGTCAGCTGTTCTTTTCTCCGAGCTCCGATGGCCCTATAGGTTGGCATTGACGACTGGGGACCGTTGCCCATTTGGCTCACTGAAGCGACTGGAGGGCTTTATTTTGATGTGGGAGAAAAGAGCACGCAAGCGTTTGGCCAGTCTGCCATGTTTGGACGAGAAGGTCTTGCTTTGTATAGTTGCTTTGTATTTTTTCTTGATGTTTTGCTTTGTGGGGAACAGCATCAACCCTCAAAACAGCTCCTGTGAGAAAGCATCAACCTGTCCGTGACAAAGAGGAGCTTCAAGCAGCCCCGGAAAGAACCAACGACAGAAGCAACAAGTACAGTACTCACTCGAAGCGAAACAAAGTACTATTTACACCTGTTTACACGGAACATATCTGGGGTCGGATTCTTTGCGTCCAGCCACAGCATACTGCAACGAAGCGAAGCTGCTCTTGGTCAATCAGACATCTCTACAGGCCAAGTGAAACAAGAGGTGCCTTGTCTCGATGGCTCGAGGAGCCGTGCATTGACAATGTTGGCTTCTGGGCAGATTGCAAACGTCCAGAATCCTCTAGACTCAGAATGCATAATCCAAAAATAAAGGTACTATCAAGTATGGAGCTGCAGCTATATAAATCTGCAGAAAACCAAAAGCCTAATGCCAAGCCATTTGGACTCGGCAAAGTTGCAGCTCAAAGCACGAGTTGGGCAGCCTGCGTCAGGCCGCTCAAGCCTGGTCGTGGCGGGTGCATCTTTTATCATCTTTTCTATTTACAAGGGCTGCATGTGACTAGTAGCGTCCTTGCTCCTAGTAGCGATGCCAGGAGCCCCTAGTAGAGTCCTTCATGTTTTCCATCAAAACCCTGTCCTCATCCTGCGAATAAAGAGCTAGGATCCGTAAAAACATCTTGCCCACGTTGCCAGATGTATCTAAAACTGGGTACGGGTCGTTTGAAAAACCGTGCAATAGAAATTCCCCCTTGTTGCACAGTTTTGGATGAGCTGGTCTTTCGAACGTTTGGACATTCTTGTTGTTGGCTCGTGGGATCTCGTGGGCCTTTGGTTCCAAGTTTGAACACTTCTTTGTTAGTCCTGACCTTGTTCAATACGTGTTCTTCCAATAAGTCATTGTTGCCGCAGGCCTCACTGGCTTTCGAGAAAGTCAGGGTCTTCGAGGTCCGCTTAGCAGTCCATGAACTTTGTTGCCAGTTGTCCTTCACGGTTTGACCTCCGCTGTACAAAAAACACATTACTGAATTCAAGTGTCCCCACCCTAACAAGCGAGTCAGCCCGAAGAAGGCAGGACATATGTAATATGTACTGACAGACTACCCTTACAAGTGCTGCCTGACATGCGCATTGACACAATGGTCCGACATTTGTTCTGGCATAAACTCTGGTATGTCTTCTGACACATCTGGGCCTGCCGTCAAGTCTGACATGCATTCTGACATATCTTCTAGCATGTACTCCCGACATACGTTCTGATATGTGCTCTCGCCTCAAACCTGCCATTAATCTGTCATGTGCCCTGGCATATACTCCGTATGTGTTCTGACATCTGTTCTATTATGTCTTCTGATACTTGTTCTGGCAGCATGTCTGACAAATGTTCCCACATTCATTCTGACACATGTTCCCGCATGTATTCTGACATATGTGACATCTATTCTGGCATCAAGTCTAGCATGTGTCTTGGCCAAAGCCCAGGCCACATCACAGTGAAGCCAGAACGGCCAAGCGTACAGAGCGCAACACACCGAAGCCCAAGGCGGCGGAGAAGAAGGCGGAGGAGGACGGCGGAGGCGAAGACCGGAATCCTCATCTAAAATCTAGAGACCCCCACCTGCCTGAAAGGTGGAGAATAAGCCAGTGCCCCAGAATCTGAAGCTCAACAGCCAAGAATAGCCAAGACAGTTGGTTGTTTATGGTTGTTTGTGATGAACCATTGATTGAATGGACAGGAATTGTCCTCTAAGAGGTAAAATAAATAGCAATATTGGAATATTATGGAACCAGTGTGCAAACACCCTTCTCTCTCAGGTCCAAGTTCGATGTGATCGAGCACAAACCCGGCGAAGGCCATTGCGAAGCCAGGCCTCTGGTGCCAGGCGAAGCTCCTCCAGATAGGCACATTCCAAACATGGAAAGAACTTGTGAAGTCAGTCGAGAAGTACAGTGTAGTACACGACACGCGTGTGGAAAGGGGGCCGGAATGTCGTGTGCTTTCTTGCCAAGATAGTAGTGCTGAACATATCGTACAGTGACAGTGCTGAAGATTTGAAGAAAGGGAATGGTCAAAGTCCAAAGTCCACAGCAGTGTGCTGGGATTGCAAGAGGTATTCCAGCATGAGCAAATTGCACATGCACCTCTAATCACGTCGCTCTATTCTTGCGACACGATGAACAATTCAACTATGAAAGCAATGTCTCAAAAGCGCCTCGGTTTGAGGCAATAGCCATGGCGAAAGGCCGCTTAGCCTCAACAAAAATAGAGTAAACATGCCTAAACCACTACTGGGCTGGTTCTTTCCAACAAACTCTGACATTTCACCAAAGTGTTCAATGCATTTGAGGCTCTGTCCTGTTCACCCCAAAGTCAATTTGATCATGGTGAGCTACAAATCAAGAATGGGATAGGAATGGGATAGAATGGGAGATTCAATTTGGAGCTTAAGCGAATCCTTTGCCTAAAACAACCAACGCCAAGCGCAGTTTCTCCGACACCAGGTCTTTCTTCGCCATCGGCTCCGACCAATCTGTGCTCCTTTCAATCTTTCAGGGCTCCGACCGTGGAACGCCTGCGTCAGCAAATTGATATGATATATGCGACAGAATAGATATATGATATCTGCGTCAAGCCGCAGCTTCGAGATAAAAGTTAAAGTTCCAAGAATGCATGTGATTGCTGCAATCACATGGATTTGTCTAATTATGGTGCTGTTGAAGTTGCTATTGTTGTCACAGTAGGCAAGTTACGGATGATGTGGAATAGTCTGTTGTTGTGTCCCCTTCAAGTGTATACCTTCTCCCAAGTAATACCGTATTGTCCATCCGCATTGTCTCAACCGCTTCGAGGACGATTACGGTTACAATCTGCAAAAACTGCTGAAAGTGCTGTAGTATCAATTGAATTTTGGTATCACTCTTGCGCAGTGACTCTGAACCATGCCGAATGAGCTGAGCTGGAATGCCCCAATCGAGGGTTGGGATGTCATCGGTCCTTGGGTCTGCCCTTACTTTGTCGACCTCGGCGGCCCTTGAGCCATGTGTGTATCCATTTTATGCTAGACTCCTATGGGCATCTATGACAAATCCAAAAAATCCGCCGACCCCACACCCTAAAGTGAGGCGTGACTGTCGATGTTAGCCTTAGCCTTAGGCCTTAGCCTTAGCCTTAGACCTTAGACCTAGTCCTTAGCCTTAGACCTAGACCTAGACCTTACCTCCCCTACCCCTCCGGACCCTTGTTGCAGTTACGAAAATCGCGCCCTGAAAGCTACCTGAGCGACCCGGGAATTGTCCAAGAATCTGCCATCCCAATTGATTTACATCTTGGGACCCTCTCGACCCGCGCGGGAAAATAAGCACGGTCCAAAATGGTCCTGGGCTCGAATCCCGGGCTGGTCGCGGCATGGTCCCGGCCAATGCCCTTGCTTTTTCGTAGATTTTGTCACGTTTTCTGTTGGTTTATGAGATTTTCAAAGGCTTTTCTGGCATTTTCCTAGGAATGCTCTAGGCTTTGTCTTTTTGGGTACCTGCTTTGGTGGTGCTGGGTTGGGTCTAAATTGGTAAACCTGGGAGGTACCCAAAAAGTCGACTTTTTGGGTACCTGCTTTGGTGGTGAAGGGTTGGGTCTAAATTCTTGGGCAATGATCGGGGTTCATGCAAGAGCTGACGTCCGATGGTAAATCTGGGAGGTACCCAAAAAGTCGACTTTTTGGGTACCTGCTTTGGTGGTGCTGGGTTGGGTCTGCACTCTTAAGGCTAAGGCTAAGGCTTAAGGCTAAGGCTAACATAGAGCAAGGCTAGCGCTAAGGTTCTATCCCTTGGGGGTCGGCGGCTGCAGGCGGTAGCCTGGTAAATATTGAACTTGAGTTGTTTTCTATGCAAAGCTGAAACTGCATATGATGAATAGTGCCATGCCGTCTAGAATTAGACTAAGCGAAAATGAGCAAACGTACCTCACCCTCAATAGCTACTTTATGCGTGCTGGGCCCAGGCTTGAATCACAGCACGGGAACGAACGAGACTCTTCTAAAACCACGTTGGAAAAGAGCCAGGTTGTCAGGGAAAGTAAGTGAGTTTCCCATATTTTTAGCGGACCATGCCATTCCTGCGATGCATTTGTGCAGAAAGAATCAGATGAGCCTCCATCAGCTCTTGGGACCTGAACTGCAGCGACTGGAGCCTCAGAGTTCGGGTGATCCTCACCGTTTACTGCGACGCTTAAGCCACGTACACCCCAAAAATGAGTCTACTCCTCCACTACGAGGTGGAGAGTAAATCTGGGCCACATGTCAGCCTCATACGGGCTGCTGAATGGGGGACCCGATCTATAGTGCAAGACCGTTGAACAGCCCAACACTGGAGCTGCAGGTCTTTATGAAGGGTACACGAAAGCACGGCCTCTGAGCACGAGGCCATGGTGCGTCCAATCCAACCAGGCAACTCGGGAGCCTTGGATGAACGAGACGTCACAAGGCTCCCGATAAAACGTCACAAGTTCGTGGCTTCTTTATGATCTCTGAACCAAGTGAGTTTCATGATCTTGTGATTTTGAGCGGTGCAGTGATAAATACTGAGTATAGGATGTTGCTCTTGATGGCCTGAATCAAGAACCCTACTGTACTTTTGTTCCTCCAGGAAAGAGGGCAAAAGATGGCCCAGAGAACTAGGCCCTGAAAAAGTTGTGAGCCCTGCCCTGCACCATTGGCTCCTTTTTCAGATCAATCAGATCCAATGAGTCTTTCCGGATGTAAATACAGGGTCGGCATGCGCCAGCACTGTAAGCGGAAAGGTGTAAGGAACGCGAGGAACCTCTTCTAGGCAGCCCACAGAAGAAATGTCCAATCAAAACGGTTCAGAAAAGTTGATGCATTTAACCAAGACAGCTCTCTCAAATGTCAAAGGACGCCTTTGCAGAAGTTCCAAGAAGTTTCAAAATGAGTGCATATCTGACTCTGTGCTTGCCACCCGCAAGCGCAGCAAGCAACGCTTGCTACTGTGCTCTAGTTAAGCCACTGGTACTCCTTGGGAGAAGGCATCGATGGAATCGGACTATCTTCCGGCAGGTGCTGCACTCCGACGGGAGAAGGAATTGATGGAATGGGACTGTCTGGTGGCACCTCAAATGCCTGCTCACCAGCAATCCACTCTCTTGGACAGGTGCGCATCCAATCAATGGCATGAAGAACGGACCGCACCGCCTCGTTAAAGTTTAGGAGATCTCCGAAAGCCATTTGGATGATATCCAACATCTTCTCCTACCAAAATGGCAGGTTGAATCAAACTGACATGCTCTTTCCAAACATAGTAGTTTCACGTCTCCTGCCAAAAATGTTGGGCGACAACCCTCCAACTGATGTTGCCAACAAATATTAGAGGATCATTGAAACTTGAAAACAGTTGAAAACCAATGTCTGGTCCTTGTCCGCCGAGTTGAAACATTCCTCAGAAAAAGCAAGAGTGGGGTGGTTTTGACAACGGGATCAATCGAAGCGATGATCACAGTGCGTCAATGAATCGCGCACTCCTTCGGCATAAAAAGAGATATTATAAAGCACAAATGATCAGCCAAATGCGCCCCTTGTATGGCCTTCGAACGAACTTATTCCATTGTGATATCACACGTCAAACTTAACACCATAAACAACTTTATAGATCAGAAGGTAAAGAGTTGCACTACTGGTTTTTGCAAATCTTCAGGCAGGCATCGCAATTGACCACATCAAAGTCCAAGAAGGACTGTCGCATTGCAGAACGATCCTCCAATTCGTGGCCTTTCAAACTGTGATGACTTTAAACACGCACATGCGGACGAGAACAATGCAATCAAATGCAGAAAGCCTTGGGATGTATCGTGAACTGTGTTGAGTAGCCTTCAGATTGGCAGCAAGTGGTGACTTGAATGACCCTGTGAGGTCAAATATTCCAACGGCTGCACCCATGAGTTTGTGCCCAGTACCGACCCGTGTTACGTAACTATCTGCCTCACTTGTTGGTGGAATTGTTATATATGTCCTTTTTGCAAATTGAGGTTAAAATGACAGCATCTGCTCTCGTTCTACGACAGCATCTGCTCTCTTTCTACGTATGTTATTAGCCTTCAATGGTCCCCCTTTTCCAGCCGGAGCCTCGACGCAAGACTGGGATAACATTGATCTCAGACACGTTGCCACCGATATGTACCTTATCAAATCAGTCTCGTGCTGCCAAAAACATCGTAGATCTGCCAAGAAAGGTTCTGGGTCCTCAGTTGAAACGTTCTACTTGATAGCAGAAACTGATGATTTAGCTGCCAAGGTACAAAAGTAAAAAGCTCCATCACACACCATAGTCGAGATAGGTAAGTGGGGCCACCTCAGCTGCACCAAGTTCAGTTCAAAAAGAAAAAGACAGGACCTGTCTGCAGTAGCAAGGTGCTTAGCGGCTACGTCCATGACCTAGCCTTTAACCTGGCTTGACTCAAAACATCTGGAACCATACGTTCAGCCTCACTACGCAGTACTGCTTTGGCAAAGGTGCAAAAGACTACCAGCTCAGCGCAGCCGGAAAGAAAAATCGGCAAACCTGGGTGTAAAGCGGAAGTGTCCCAACTCAGAAAAGCGTCTACAACTGCATGATCAGAGACAGAAAGAAATCAAGTGCTTCTCCAAAGAACATTTAAAAAATAGACTAATTCTGCCAAAGCTGATCTAATTAGATCTAATTAGTATGATCTAGTCTAGTCTCTCTGTGTGTCTCTCTCTCTCTCTCGCTCTGTGTCTCTCTCTGCCTGCCTGCCTCCCTGCCTGGCTGACTATCTGTCGGTCGGTCTGTCCGTCCGTCTGTCCGTCTGTCCGTCCGTCTGTCATTGTTTACTTCTTCCTTCCTTCCTTCCTTCCTTCCCTCGCTCCCTCAATCCCTCCCTACCTCGCTCGCTCCCTCACTCACTCTCTCACTCACACACACTCGCACACACACTCTCCCTCTCACTCTTGCTCACTGTGGTGCACAGCACAGACTCTCTGCCGCCAAATGGCAGCGGAGGTCCGCCTCAATATCGTTCTGGTCCTGAGTTTGCGCTTGCAACATGTGCAAGCAAACAGTCTCACCCAACATGGGGCGGCACGCAAAATGCGAAAAGTTGCGCTACGCTAGTTTCGGAACGGAATCAAGGAATGCAAAGACTTAAATGGTTTGCCAAATAGCACCTCTCGAGTCAACGCAGACTGGTATGGGTTAAGGCTATTTCTATATAGTAGTATTTGGTATGCATGAAGGACTGAGTTGGATGAAATGTTCTCTCCAACAAATCCTGAGTTCAACACGATGCAGCACTTGTCGAGCCAAATATGAGGCGCTCTCCTCCTCGTAGGCATCCGATTTCCCACCATGGTATTGGATGCGAGTCATTTTCTGATGTGGGAGGTTGCAGCTTGACGCTTGGAACTAAAGTCATGCTCGATCGTGCACATACACCTTTTTTATAGAATTATGTAATATTACAGTACATACACAATGCTCCAGAGCCAGTATGTCAGTATGGCACAGTGCACTCCTATCACGCTCAAATTTAGATCGCCACCAATTCATGGCCACCTCAGGTTTCTCGCACTACGACAAGCAAAATCAACCTAAACAATGTCCCAAACAGTAGAAACGTTCAAGTGCGGTGTGTTGAGATATTCAAACCAGGTCTGCATTGAAGAGTTGACATGCACTGCACACCTGTTCCACCCCGAAGAATAATACATGTTCATACATATTATCTGTTGTCCGTAGTTCGATTCATTTTGCTTTGGCATGTCGAACCATTTTTCATATTTTTCTACCAAAGAATGCATGCTCCGTGTGGTCTGAGCAGGTTTCTATCGGGCTCCACAAAGCTGAAGAAGGTAATCGGGTAGGTAGGAATGTGGAGCCTGCTTGAGAACAAAAACATATCCTTCTTGCCCGGAGCCTGCTCCTATCACCCAAGCTTTCGCCAAGTTGGGCGGGCACGATTTGATATCGATAGTTTCATGCAACCCCAAGGTCACATGCAACTTCATTTCATGCTACTTCCTTCCTCCTCTCCTCTTGCTCCTCTTGCTCCCCTTGCTCTCTCTCTCTCTCTCTCTGCAGTTTCTTCTCTCCTCGTCTCCTTGCGATTCAGCGCCAAATCGTGTCAGTCCAACTACTGTGAAGTGCAGGTGCAGTCGATGCATCATCGGAAGCCAACTCACGTCACTTCGTGCCACTCTTAAATGGCGTTCAATTGAAGCGTAGAGTAGCGAAATTGGAAATTCCCCTCCTGCGACCTCTCCGAGCTCCCTGGTGATGTCTTCATTGATCAGTCGAATTGGCAGTCGGATGGGGTTGTTCATTATAGATGGACAAAGCGGTATATCTCAAAGTATATATAGATGCATGTCCTTCCTCCGCTATGAATCAGCCTGCAGCGAGAGTCTCCAGTCTGCTCTCCATGTCGACCCTCTTTCATTGCTTCAATGATCTTTAATGGAAGCTTAAGCTAAGCTTTTCACACTTTGCTTTCACCAAGACACCCATTTGGCTGGAGCATCATCGTGCCAGGAATGTGACACGAAGGCATCACCTGGGTGACTCAAGTTTCACTCCCGTGGTTGGAAGCGACTCCGTTGGACTCTGAAAGGAACAAAACCAATCAACACGTTTAGATGCCTCTAACATCAAAACAAAAACATAAAATGTCAACAATGATGAAATCTAGCCCAAATCTAGCCACGCTGGTGACCAGCACTGGAATTGGCTCCGTCCATTCACGTTTGAAGCGAAGAGAGGACCAAAAGGACCACACATTAGGAACAAGAAGCTACTAGGAACAAGTGCATCGCTTCTAGTAACAAGTGCCTTACTAGTAGTAACAAGAAGCTATTAGGAACAAGAATTAGAATAGAATCAAAATACAAGCCATCGTCGGATCGAAGACCAAAGGTCGTTCCTTCGGCAGGGCGCAGCAGCCAAGCTTCACCGCTTGAGAAAGGGCAAACACGGCCGGACCTCAGAGCAAATCTCGGAGACCCAACATCGGGATTTCTAAGAAGTGGAGTGCCAAACACAACAGGCTTGTGTACAATAAGCCTAACGAGTGTCGCAGCGCTTCTATCTAAAGTTCAGGGTGACACCCTCAACCTACAGTTTCTCTGCTGATCGCAACCCATCGACCGCGGTCATTTGAGGCAGCCCAAGAACAAAAACCAAGCAGCACCTCGTAACCCAAAGGGACAATCACTTAAAACCGGATCTCGCACAAAATGTGGAGAACAAGCATCATTTGGGGTGTGGGGACCCTCAATTTGTAGTGAACAAACCCAACAACAATGACGGTGGAAAGCCCGGGTGAAAGCTTTCTCGGACATAAAGTCATACGCTGGATCGACAAAACACCAAGGAACACTCAAGGTTTGAGAGTTCCAACACACGAACTAAGGAATTGAAGTCTTGGATTAAATCCCCAGTAATTACCAGGAGATTGTCTAGATGTACTGCTAAATGAAAGACCCAGGACCCATGACATAAAAAGTGGGGTGTGCATTGTTTTGGGTCTCGCGCAAAGGCTTCGGACAGCGGCAAGCAGCTAGGTCTGTTGGTTGCGAGTTCATTCTCGTCGAGCCTTGGCAACGGTGGCAATGACCACATTGCTCTGTTCAGCAAAGCAAGGAACTGAATAAGCAAACAATGTGGCACAGCAGAAGGAGGCAAATGATTAAACTCAGTTTTGGCAGCTGTGCGCCTGTGCGGTCTCAAACTGTCGCCACTTACTGGGAACCCATGCAATGAGAAGTCCACGGAGCGGAATCGTTTTTTTCGCTTGGCCCATCACCTGCGGCTGTGGAGTTCATCGCAACCCCTACAAGACAAACACCAAAATGAAACCTCTTCCGCGTGTATGTTCATTCATTCATATTTGAGAAGGTACGATGTTTACATCTCCTATCATTCCTTATTTGCCTGGAACGTCGAACGGGCATGGCTGAGGGTGGCTGATCTAGTCTGGTTACCACAAATAGGAATCCCCACAGTCCTGCCACAGTCTACAGATCGCTGGCCGACCCAATTGGTTACTAGTAGCTATGCCCTTGTTACTAGTAGCGATGCATTTGTTACTAGTAGCTTCTAGCTGCTCTTTAATCCTCAACCTTGCTCACAGTGATTGTTTGGACTGTCCATGCATCCGAAAATAGCCACAGGTCATTGGCATCGACTCTCGCTGAAGGCGAATCTGATGCCGTGAATGTTGTGGAAAAAAAACAATCAGAACTTGTTTCTGGGATCATGTCTTCCACCTTGAACCTTTAGATTCCTTCCATGTCCTTCTTCCATTGCCAGACCTCGTGTATAGAGCAATTGCCAACTAGCCCAGCGATGCCAGCCGCGGCCGCACGGTTGTTTCGGTAGCGTGCCATGCCGGAGATCATCATCTGGCGACAAAAAGGACATCCATCACGAGTCGCACGGCCCTAGTATGGACATACCCTCAGCAGAAAGCAGAAAGGAACTACCAACAGTCCAGTTGATAAATTCTGCTGATCGACTCCAATAAGTATCATAAGTGAACTCAATATGAAAACGCATCTGACAACTACTTGTGTAAACATGTGCCTTGCATTCGTAACTTGGAGGGTCACATTTCCTATGGACTGAATCCTTTTGAGCTCGCTTACTGCAAATGCTTTGCTGCATCGTCAAAATGACAGAACACAACGTCGACAGCTTGTGTGCTTGTCAAAAAGACTTCTATCATGAGTGGAACCGAAAGCATTTCTTCCCTGATCACGAGCAGGTGGAAACTCAGTGACCACCCCCAATGGATTTTGGACGATTTTTTTTTCTCAAGACTTTCCAGTTGAACCACAACAAAAAAATCCTAGATCGACCCACATCGACCCTGACCGACCCGGAACTCCACCTGAACTCGGCTTCGTAAGGTCTTCATCCGACTCACCGCCAAAGCTGGGAGCATCCCAACCAAACGCAGGGACATTGGATCCAGCACGTGCATCAAAATGGCCACCTAAAAAGAGGACACAACACAAGCGCTTCCAGAACCAACGGGTCCCCGGCCCAGGAAGAAAAAAGAAGCATGTATGAGCATGTATTATATAACCATTTCTCATAGTGTTCAGACTCAAGTTGCGAATCGTTGAGACAACTGGCACAACAGAGCCACATGTTCAACTAGAAATACACCAGCGGCAGCAAAACAACAAAGCTCTACACCTGAAAGAGCATGCGTGAGCACGCAAAAGCATTGAGGTGCTCTGCTACAGCGGACATATATTGGTTGGAAAACGACTCAAAAAGAATCAAAAAATGTGCGCTGTATGATCCTTTCTCTGATTTTAAAGTATTATATATGTTAAACAGCTCAATGTTATTCATGTCATATTGTCCTGTGCAGTATAGGTGCTTCCACGAATGATCTGCTTGGGAGCCCCCATCACTCGCAACATGTTGTTGCTGAAAGTCCGCTAAATACTTCCAAGCAACAGTCACAGAGTAGATCACAATGGCACCAGTCTCCTCAGCTGTCGAACACATGGGTCACATGGGTGTATTGAAATAGTGGGACCTCTCACAGACCTCCTGGAAGAGCAAGCGTAGACGGTAGACGGCTAATGACCAAACCGCATCGGTTGGGGGTCTTCCTAGTCATCCCTAGTCTAACATACATCCACATGCTTCAAGTACCTACTTCCGTCTTGACTGGACCTGCATTTTGAAAGCAGTAGCCACTATGTCCTCCGGCCTCAAACCGTCCAGCAAATACGGCCAGCAAAAAGAGACCAATGGAGCTTTTGAGATTGCTTTCGTCAGAGGTGTCCTTTGTAGTTGACTCTCACCAAATACCTTTGTGCTTTCTCAAAGTTTGCCAGGGAGCAATGTCAAATGGTGTGGGAGGGCGCTGAAATCCCGTCATCATCTGTCATCATGCCGACAAGGCTCCACCATGATGAAAACTGTGGCTATACCCCACATAGCCCTTGCTGGTACACAGATTGGCCAGGGGGAGTTCAAACAAGGACTTTCAAAAAAGCCATAAATTATGTATAAGCTGCTATAAAATGTTGCAGTATAAGCTTTCTCATGGCAGCACCTCTGCATATGGGCAGTATCATCCCAGAAGACCACAATGAAGTTGGAGATCACCAGTAGGGCCAAAGAGCACGTCCGCCTTCAGCGTGCAAGGACACATTGCCAACTCTGGCATCTTTGGGGTGCCCACATCTACTGTACATCACGTTGGCTCATTGTAGAAAATTGTGGCAGGAGCAACTGAAAAAGGAAAAGCAGCACACTTAAAAGTGGAAGTTGTCCGTTCAGCATTCCATCGATCAAGCATTTAAAGGAATCTACATACAGGATGCGACAAGAGGCATTACAAGCTGAACCAACTTCATGTCACACACCATGTTTGGTGCGTCAATGCCATACCTCGGCTGAAGGCAACTCGGTACAAGTACCACTTACTGCCCAGCTGAGTAGAGGAAAAGTACATGATGATGTTGTCCGAGCTAAGCCCATCTGATTATATCTGATTTTATCCGTGGTTCTCCGGACTCTGGACTATATCCAGTGAACTTCTGCGGCAAAGCTTACATTCCTGTGACAGTGATTTTCTGAAACTGTCTAGTTGTGACTTCACAGAAACATCTACTGATCCAATAATTTATGTGCCTGTGCTTGTCACTTCATATGGCTTTAAAAGCTGCTCACTGAAACGGAATACTGTTTGCTCTACTTGGCTGCGCCAAGGATTCCCTGCTGGTTCCTGGCAATGGCATACCACAGCAAATTTTTCAGCGGTAACTTTGCCACCGAGGTTGCATAAGGCAAAGTCCTGATGAGGTTGGAGTGATTGGGAACATGTTCACCATCATGGACAACTTGAGCCATCTTGGCACAGTTCTAGCTTCGCTCAAAAGGGGAAGCCACATCATCCTTTGACCCTAGTAGGCCCTGGTCACATCTAAAGTGACGGTTGTTTTTCATAGAAACCAATTCCAAACAATATAGCACCAAGTACGAGTGTCCATTGGACTGTTCTTTTTGCGATCGGACTGTTTGTCCATGATTGTCCATGTTTGTCCACTTTCCCTCCTTCTGAAGTGTTTTGCTTCTCCACGGTATCCAGGTAGGTCGCCAGGGTCGGGCCAACCAAGAAAATCACCTCGCCAAGGCGAGACTCCACTCGTGTTTCCCCGCCAGGCAACGACGCCCGTTCGCCACACGGTCGGTCGACGACTCGGTGGTTTCGCCCAGCAACGGCCAAGAGTCCAACCAAGGACAGCTGCAAGAGCGCCTGAAGATTGGTGAAACCGGAAGTTCGAAAGTCGAATGTCATTGACACTGAAAGGTCACATGTCGTTCAAAATCTAAACATCAAGGCCAAGCTTCCCATCGCGTCAATCGTGGGTCGTCCGCCATGGGTGCTAAGCAGCAGCAAATGATTTGGAAGAAATACATGAGGGCACCAAATATTGCCTGTGAGCATAGCTGACGCGTTCACACTCAAACAGGTCGAATCCTTTGTGTCCGGGGCTGTTTCGACGAGCAAAGGTCTTCAAGAAATGTACAGTATGTTTATTGCATTTGTACTGCTAATTTTGTACAGTACCGCGTTTCGAGTCCTGGTCCACATACTTGGTGCTGTTTAGCATTCCCAATTCTTCCAGGCTTTCTTGCCGCGAGAACTCAAAGATCACGCAGACCTCGACTCAACTACGACGCTTGAATAGACTTGAAGCCTTCGAATGTAAAATGCACTCCGACGAGTGAAACTTGGGGTTAAAGGCGATGTGTGCCACAATCGTCATGCCGACTGTGCATATGTCCGTTTCATTGCTGCTGCGGCACTGAACAAATCAGGCCCAACATGAGGAAGGATCCAGAAATACGGCAGCGCGTCTTGTGTAGCACTCGCTGGCCTAAAATGGAATCCCAACATTCAAGTGTCATGACTGCAGTCTAGAGTATTCCAGGTGTTCCTGCAGTATTCTAGCAGCAGAAGACTGCATGCTGGCTGAACAATGTTATCTTACATACCAAGTCTCATTTCTCACAATATGCATCTAGGGGCCTGGCCATTTGACAAGTGATGCCTCATCAAAGCCATCTTTGTTCTACTTCTGGTGTAAATGGTTCGCGTGTGAGCAATGTCTGAGTCCTCAGTCGCAATGTCAATGACATGACACCACCCTCTGCGCACCCTGCCCTTCTGATCCCTTCTGTTGCTCTGCAAGGCCTGTGTATCCGCTGACCCGTGCCTGGCTGACGCCTAGGCGGGGCGGCGCCTGAGAAGCGATTGCCTGCGCACTCCTGCCTCTAGAGGGGACCGTGCCACCAGGCCGTAGCTTGTGGCCTCAATGACCATGCCAACAGGCCACTCGCTGTTTATGGGGGCAACACCACGCAAAGCACCCTCTTACATCTTCGCACGGTCTTTTGCGGCTACCGGGGCTTGTCCTTGAGGTCCGGGAGCTCGAAAGCTCTGAATGGCAAGGTCCGCAGCGTCTCATCCTCCGCTCAAGTCGAGGAAAATTACATTGCCCTTGAAAATATACCCACAACATAAGGCTATTTATAGGACCTGCAGTGGAAAAGGGTTCGAAGCCTTTTTCCATGGCGCTAAAACGCATCTGGGTTCACGTTTGCCACAAACGCCAGCCTCTGCAATTAGTCCTACAAAGACACTCTCAAGGTGGTTACTGTAGAGCTGCAGTGGGCAAGAGTCCCGTGTTTTGAGATGGTAAGTGACCTCAAGTGACCTCTAGTGAGTTCAGGTACCATTCAATAGTGGGATACGTTGGTTTTTGTCGGTCTGTTTCGCGTAAAAATGGACATACCCGCAGTCGGTGGAAATCTTGCGGGCGCGCAATGAACCCTTGAAAACTACACGTTCTGTACAAGATTTCCTTCACCCTTCTCGTCCCAAGTCATGGCAGTCAGACGGACCATTTCTGGAAACAGAATTTGGGATCAACTAGTATATTTCGAGCTGCATGTCAAAGAACAATGTCAGAACAGCATTGCTGTCTGTGAGAGTCCAGCAGCGCACGCAAGACAAAGAGTATACAAACATGAAGACGCCATGAACCTACAGAAATATTCTTGCAAGTCGCCCAGAACAATGAAAATCTGTAAAGCCAAGGACAAGAAAAATAAGAACAAAATACAAAATAATAGTAATCCAAGGATCTTGAAAATAGAAAAACCATAGAGAAAACCCTCTCTCCCTCCCTCATGAGTTTGCTCTAACCCTAGGCCATTGCTCAGTGTGGTAATGGTGGCTAGCACGCAGGGTGTTCATGGGGACGTCAGCTGCACGGCTGCGAATAGGAGGGATGTGTGGGCTAAGCCTCTGAAGGCCAGGCCAGACCTATTGGTTTCACTGTTTGTTTTCCTGTTGATTTGCTATCGTTTTGCAAAATTGTGTTCCTATGGTTTCCCATTTTCTGAATTTGTTTTAGCTTTCCCTTAAAAATAGAGAACAACTAGGAAAACAATAGAAAAGTAATAGGAGGCCACTGGAGGTCCAATAGAGCCACAAATAGAAGAAAAAACGATAAGTACATGACAAGCAGTGATTTTCTTTCTTCGTGACATACCACAGTGTCGTTCTATTGTTTTCACATTGGAACGCTCTCTTTGGAAGTGCATTAGTTTCTCTATTTTGCCTTTGTTCTTTCCTAATGTTTTCCTAATGTGTGTTTTACATGACTGCATTCTATTACGCTCTGTTTCCAAAAAAACTTTTCAGTCTGCGTTAGCCATTTTGCATAAGCGGTCAACATAAATCTACTTAATGACCATATGGCGCACATATAGATCCTTTTGAGCAACCTATTGGAGGCGGCCTTCTCAAACTGCACACGAGCAATTTTAAACGCGCGCCCTCCAGTATGCTCTGAAATCTGGCCCTTGCAGGCTTGGCGTGGACCAGCTTTGCCAAGTCCTGCATGAGTTCCTCCTCACGCCCTGAGCCCATTAGCCAGCTTAGATAACACCAGCGCTCCTTCCTGATCTGGGCTTGTTGGTGTGTTTTCTCACTTGGGAGAGGTTTGCGCCACCCATCAAACATCTCTTTTGAGATTCAATTCCCTCCCCTTTCCTGCGCTCCAGCGCTGTCTGGGCTTCTTTGTGTCACAAAAAGCTAACTACAACAAGTCATCACCAACCCTTGGCTTCAAAGACATTGTATTGTAGGGCAAAGGAGAGAACTTCGGCGGGTCCATCTCTCCAAATGAATGGCCTTCCAGAAACTGCCATTGATTTCGACCCCGCACACAGAAATACATCATCAAAAGCTGCAACAACCTGAATTTTGCGGGTTCTTCATGGTTTTTCAGCTTTGGCCTACAGTAGCTGAACAGCGTTAGAAGAAGCACTCTTGCTACAACCAATTTGCATCGTAATAATGCCTGGAGTCCTAGAGAATATTCTTTTGTGACCCAAGATTTGCAAAAGCAAGAGCTTTGATTTCGAGGGCGCCTTGCGGCGACGTCCACGCCGTACACCTCCGGCGGGAGCGCCGAGGGCCGGCCACCTTGGCGCAACTGTCTGGGAAGCAAAGCTGCCTCCCAGACAGGGCTGGGTTGATGGCCAGCATCCCTTTTACTACAGCTGTCCTTGGCGCCCGTGTCAAAAAGGAGAATGTTCCAGCTTCCACCTCAGGAGCTGCCCTGTAACCCGCGTTAGACTTTGCTATAACTGAAGACCTTCAAGCTTTGACTTCGGGAATGCTACGAGCTTACTTCAACATAGGGAACGCCGCGGCGAAACTGTATTGTGGTCTTTTGAACGCTACACCGATCACGCGCTTGAATATTTTCATATTTTGTATTACCTCGACCAGGGCTCAGTCAATGGGCCACTGCGATTCCAAAGTGTGTCCCAGGCGCAACGCTCTCAACCATGCCACAAAACTGCTGCGCGTCGTAACCCTGGCGCTTCTCACCCTTGGGGCGCGGCCAGAGACCCTGGCCAATTCTTTTTTCCAACGGGAGATCATTTTGGGCAATTGCCTCAAGCGCGTCTCTCAAAGTGAATGTCACGTTTCCAAATCAATCGCTAGCATTTTGTTGCGCGGGATCTGTGGTGTTTGGTAATCGCGCATAAGTTGTAAGGGTTCCAGGTCTATGAGTTGGTTGCGGGCGTCAATTATCGTACGTCGCGCTCCCGTCATTCGGACAAACAATTGAATTTATCCCCAACAGGCTTTAGGCGCATACTCTGGCAACACCAATACAAGCCTAACCAACCCAGTAGGAAACATGAGGGTAACTCACGAGCGTAAACAAGGACTCCTCTTTTTCGCAGAACTCAAGAGGGTCTGGATATACGTCTGATGCTCCTAGAGACATGGGCAGGGACCCTGCATACCAGTGTTATGAAATACTGGATTATCAGTCGTGGTTAACAACGCACAGACTAGCTTGTAAAGTCATTATAGATGAACTACAACAACCCTACGAGACCCCCACACAGCGCGCGCAGAGGGTGTCAAGGGTGGGTGGGAGCTTCGTGATCTTGAGGTAAAATGGCACCAAGATCAGGAGTTAACGCCTGCATGGTTCAAATCCCAAAATGTCCCTACCCAACCATCCGCTCAATTTTGGAAGATTAAAGGCCAGACAAATTCATTGACCTCAACCCTGCCCAGAACTTTTCCTCCTCGTGGCCGGTTGTCTTCTGGCCGTGCAGCCATCGCCGTGTCCTCGTCTTGTCCTCCTCATTTCCTCCTCTGCCGTGCAACGCCGCGCTTGTCCCCCCTTCGCTTTCTCTAGTCTTCTTGTCGATGTCCTTTTTTTGTCCTCCTAGTGTCGTCTTCTTGTCGCGTCTTCCCTTGCTTCCTTCTCCAGCAACCTCGTGTCCTCCTTCCTGGCGCTTGCAGTTGCTGCCAAGCAGTTCTTTTGCCCGAACAATTTAGTGTTGGGGTTCTCTCTCTTTACAAAACTGTCCATGTAGTGACTGGCTTCGCCTCTGAACTCTGTGTCTTGTCCTGTTGTCACCGTGCCGGCCAACCCTGTGCGCTCCTCTAGTCGTCCTCCTGTCCTTCTCTTCTCTTTCTCCTGGCCCACTCTTGTCCTCCCCTTGTCCTCCTTGTCCTGCAGTTGTCCTCTGGCCGGGCCTGCCAACCCTGTGTCCTCTTAATTCTTGCCCTTTTCTTGTTCTCCCCTTTTGCAGTTGTCCTGCTGCTGCCGCGCTGGTTAAATGGGCGTCGTCGTCTTGTCCTCCTCTTCCTTCCCTTGTACTCATCCTGTCGCTCTCTTGTCCTGCAGTTGTTCTATGACCGCGCTGGCCAACCCTGTGTCCTCCTCTTGTTCTCTTCTTGTCCATCTCTTGTCCTCCTCTTGTTGTCTTGCTGTTGTCCTCTGGCCGCGCTGGCCAACCCTGTGTCCCCCTATTTCTGTTGCCCTGCTGTCGTGCTCTTTCTGCTTTCAAAGGCAGGGGCTGACGCCTCTGCTTGGTGTCCTCCTGCTAACCCCTGGTGGCCACGCTTGCGAACCCTCGCGCTACGGTTACCCCAAACGACGGAAAAGCTCCACGGAGATCTCCGCTGCTCCGTCCTATCATTCCTGTTCACCTGTCGCCTGGAATTGCGCCTTCGACCTCACCTGGCAGGAGTGGAATTGCACGACAAGACTCAGACTAGGTCTCGCTATACGCGGCTTTGCCAGGCATCGAAATTATCATCTGGGAAATTGCGACGCTGCTGTTCTTCACGCTTAATTAAATAGTTCTCATTGACACCGAATTGTGGAGGTTAAGCTTTTTTCTCGGGTATGATGGTGGTCTTGCTTGCCTGTACCCTACAAGATCCGAACCTCATCAAAATCTCAAGCTGTGTCAAATTTTAATTGGTTCGCTCAGGTCCTGCGTAAAGCGGGTGTTCCGAGGGCGACGACACTCCTTGCCCTGTTAAACTTCCAGCACCGGTGTTTCGCTGTGGCGAGGCCGAGGTTTTCGCGTGGGGCCTATACGGGGCCTCGGGACCATGCCAACAGGCCGTAGCCTGCTGTTTGCAATGGATTTCGCTTTCATTCCTTCCATTTCCGTTTGGTTCCTGCTGCGTTCCTCTACGCTCTTTTTCATGTCCTTTTCATTCCTTGCGCATCCCGTTTCATTCCTATTCTGTTCCTTTTCGTTCCTTCTTTTTCCGTTTGCTTCATTGTCCTTTCCTTTCCGTTCCTTTTGGTTCCTTCTGGTTTCTTTTTGATTTCTTTGCATGTCCTTTTCATTCTTCTTCATGTCCTGTTGTTTCCTCTTGCTTTCCTTTTGCTTCATACTCCTTTCCTTTTGCATCCTTTTCATTTCCTTTTGTTTCCTCGCCCTTTCCCTTTCCTTCCTTTTCCTTTCCTCTGGGTTCCTTTTAACTTCCTTTTGCTTCCTTTCGCTTTCCTCTTCATCCCCTTCCTTCCTTGATATCCTTCTGATTCCGTGCATTCCTTTTGCTTTCCTGTTCTTTTCCTTTTGCTTCCTACTAATTTCCTTTGGTTTCCGGTTGATTTCTTTTTGATTCCCTTTCATCCCTCGTCTTAATCTCCTTTGGATTCCTTGCGGTGTCCTTTGGATTCCCTTTAACTTTCATTCCTTTTGATTTTCCGTTCGCTTCCTGTGTATGTCCTTTCGTTTCCTTTTGATGTCCTTTTCATTCCTGCTCCTGTCCTCTTGCTTCCTATTGACTCTTGATCTCCTTTTCCTTCCTGACCTGCTCTATCCTTTTTTACCCCTTTCTTCCTTCCTCCTCCCAGCGCCGCCTACCACTACTCGGAGCAAGTAAGACCAAGACAGCACTTACGCAGCGCATCCTGCTTGTTCAGCAGGTGTAGTTGTCTTATTTACTCCAAATAGGGGTCGGCGGCACCTGGGCGTCAGCCCTTTCTATCCGGCGACGCCGTCCCGGCGACCATAACAAGCCTAGCTTGCTATATGGAGACGCGCTCCACGCCGCCGACCTCTTTTCTAGCATCACCAGGGCTCATGCGGTTTCGTCAAAAAACGTCAACAACAGAGGGAAAAGGATCAAAAATGATCACTGTAAAGCTTATAGCTTTAAAGCCTCTAGAAAAAAGCATTGAAAATGGGAACAAATTTTGAGGACAAATTTTGGTCGAGCATCATTAGCATCAGCAGAGTCTCAGCAGGAAAGATGCAAATCCTTTGGTGCATGACTAGGCGCAAAACACTGATTTACATTGTTTTTGCAAAATGTTTATAGTTTATGAACAATGCTGCTCGTACTCTGGTGATGCCAATGGTGCTCGACACAAATGCTACCTCAAAACTTCCTCTCCCCTTAGCATACTTTCTTCTCCAGAGATAAAGCTTTACAGTAGCCATGTTTGATCCCTTTTGCTGTGCACTTGACATTTTTCTCAACTAAGTACGTTCAAGATGTCGGTTTGCGGCCGACATTTCTAGCACCACCTGGGCTTATATGGCTTCTTCAAATATCAGTACTTTGTAGTGGAAAACGTTGGAAAAACTATATTTTTCCCCAGATAGCGAAGCTATGGGGTTCTTACTTCAAATAACAATGTGGCGCTGGTGCTGTGAGCTGGCTGTGCACGTGGTGGAGACAGGTTGGTGGTGCCAGTGCCAGGTGCCGGTGCTGGTGCTGTGAGCTGGCTGTGCACGTGGTGGAGACATGCTGGTGCTGGTGCCGGGTGCCGGGCGCCGGTGCTGCTGCTGGGCGTCGGCGCTGGTGCTGGCGCTGGGCGCTGGTGCCGGTGCTGGTGCCTGGTGCTGGCGCTGGGTGCCGGGTGCAGGTGCTGGTGCTTGTGGTTGCTGGTGCGGGTGCCGGCGCCGGTGCTGGCGCTGAGTGCCGGGCGCCGGTGCTGGTGCTGGTGCTGTGAGCTGGCTGCGCACGTGGTGGAGACAGGTTGGTGGTGCCGGTGCTGGTGCTGGGTGCCGGGTGCTGGTGAGCTGGCTGCGCACGTGGTGGAGACAGATTGCTGGCGCTGGTGCTGGTGCTGGGCGCTGGGTGCCGGCGCTGGTGCTGGTGCTGTGAGCTGGCTGCGCACGTGGTGGAGACAGGTTGCTGGTGCTGGTGCCGGGCGCCGGTGCTGGCCGGGTGCCTGTGCCGGTGATGGTGCTGGGCTGCGCGTGGTGGAGACAGGTTGCTGGTGCTGGGCGCCGGTGCTGGTGCTGTCAAGGGCTTTGTACTGTTTGCGCGCATACTGTTGTACGTACACTGTTCTATGTGCAACGTCAGGCTCTCAACGGAGCATTGTTTCAGCATGTTTCAGCCTGCTACACACAAAATATAGTCGTGCTGGATACTGCTTGGCCTTGGGCGAGTGAAGCCTACGGGCTTTGCCGTTTATGCGCACTCTTTTGTGCGCATAAACTTACACGTGCAAGATCATACGGCCTTATCGTTCTACAGATCGTTGTTTCAAGCGCGCTACAAGGGCAATAGTGGCGCTGGATACTGCTTGGCCTTGGGCCAATGACACTTACGGGCTTTGCTGTTTGCGCGCATACTTTTGTGCGCATAAACTTATACGCGCAAGAGCACACTAGGGATAGCTATGGGGTTCTTACTGCAAACTGAATAAGAATGAGCTGGCTGCGCGCGCTTTCGAAGGGTGTCAGTGCTGGTGCTGGTGTTGTGGTCCTGGGTGCTGGTGGCTGAGCGCGCGTTTAAGCCGGGCGGCCGTGCTGGTCGGGTGCTGGTGCCGCCCCCGTGTCAGCTGGCAAAGCGGACTGGTGCTGGCGTCAGCTGGTTGCGCGCGCTGTGGAGCCGCCGTAAGTTGGCTGTGCGTGCAGGCTGTGTACATTCTTGTTCCAGCCAGTCGCATGTCACAGGTCGTGGGATGCTGCCTAGCTATCTGGGTCTATGCTGGCTTAATTGAGCAGTTTCTAGCCTAAAGTTATCTGTGTTTACAAGGTTCGCGGACGCAAAGGTGGCTCCAACTTCGCCCATTGGGTGTGCCCACGCCCGCGCCGTGCGTGCCAGTGCGCGACTGCGTGCGCGCGAGTGCGTGTGCGCGAGTGCGTGTGCGTGCGGGTGCGTGTGCGGGTGTGCATGTGCGTACGTGTGTCTGAAGCTGAGGTTGCCGGGCTTTTTCCATCAGACCCTCGTGCGCACAGCTCTGAGTGTGTATGCACAGGCGTAAGAAGCTGTGCTAATCGTCGGATTTTGCTGTGCAAACAGCCTGCGGATACGCGCATGCCAAGGGCGTCGTCGGTTGGCGAAGCCTGTCAGTTTCAAAAGACTTGCAGAAAGGATGTGCAAACCCAAACAATGAGTGGGCTGGTACCACCGGCTTACGACTTTGGCATGCTTTGGCGAGTATATCGGATGTCCCAGGCGCCACGCGGCTCATGTGCGTGGAGGATTCGTCGGAAAAGCCATCCGAGTTGTCCTCAAGGGTCTGAAAGATTGGCCAGCAGTCTGATCGTGAGTATTCGTGAGTCATGCAAGGACCGAACGGAACGGGAAACATACGGGGAACCGGGGTCTCTCACCTCTTACGATTCTTATGTCGACGTCATCATTGAGGTGTGAAACAGATTGGGAAAGGGCTTCTGCAGATGGTGTGGCCATAATGGTGGCTTCTCTTTTCAGGGAAGGCTACAACTTCTAGGGTGAGGAAGGTTCCGGTCACGGCTGGGGACGTCTCGCGGCTTGACTCTCCTCCATGCTGTGGCTGCCCGACTCACACTCATCTGAAGCGGACGAGCTCAGGGTCCTCGAGTTAGGGGGTGCTCTGGGCGGTTGGACCTGATGTTGAGCTTCACTTAACCGGGAGCCACCAAACAAAGCAAGTAACTACACCAGGCCGCCCCACACGCCAAGGTTTAGTTCACCGATGGTTTTCGTAGCAAGAGTGAATCTTCAACATGTTGCTTCTAGTCATGGTCCCAATGGTGATGTTGAAAGTTGAAGATGAACGCCCCGCGTTCAAAGACTGTTAAACATCGCTTGCTGGCCCCGTAATACCAAGTTGCCTGGAGGTCTTGACAAAAAACACCATTGGAGCCGAAGCAGTGGCCACGAGCGGCTAGCAGCAGGCGGAAGCAGGGTATGATGCGGGTATGTCGTCGGCTGCTTGGGCGGAGTGTTTTTGCTTCGTACGGGTGAGTGGAAAATGGCCGCATTAAAATTTAGATACTGCAACATGCCGCAGGAGATTATTGCTGACAGAACTCACAGGCTTGCATTACTGTAAACATTTGGCAACTCTTGTCAAGGCTGGACTCTAGACTAGGTTGGCTCTTGGTGTCGATGCCAAGAACATCTAAGAATCTAAGAATTTGGTCAATGAGCCAAAGAGCTTCACCGAGGCAGTCCGTGATGTGTGAAATCTCAAATACCTTCTGAAACCTGACAGTCAAACATCTGATGCAAACAAATCACACTCCGAAAGGGATAGTAGAAGCTAATGGAATGGTGAGACAACGGCAAAAAGACATAGTAGAACAGTGGTGACCTCAAATTGAATTGGAAAAGTGAATATCAAATCCCGTTTGAGTATGTTTTGGAAACCCTTTCTATTTGGAATTATCTACAAAAGTAAGCAAACGCATTCGGTTTTAGCATCACCTTCGTTGTTGAGTTTTTTTGTACCGCCCGCCCTGCCCCCTTTGTCAGAGAACCTGTTACAACATAGCAAACAACATCTTTGCAAACCTAGATCTCCAACACATTTTATGACTAGGAGCAAGGACGCTACTAGGGGCTCCTGGCATCGCTACTAGTACCAAGAAACTACTAGGGACTCCTGGCCTTACTACTAGTGACAATGTTTGCTATTAGAAACAAGAATTCAATAGAATTATAAGTAAAATGTGTTTGGCCGGGGCACCTGGACTGCACGTGGAGCCGGAGCTGGTGTTTGAAGCCCCACCTTGTGGAAGAGTAATGTCCAGTTCCTTTGGGTGTGTTTTGGGTAATGTCCATTCAATGGGCTTTGCGGCTTTGCTTGTCTAGGCCTGTATTAGACACGTTGCTCCTCCCCAGTTCAACGTGAGAGTTCTATATAGATGTGTTAGTCCATGTTTGCCCTTCTCAGGGGTCTTTGGGGATCTCCCCACCCCAATCCTGTACATCAAGTGTCTGAACACAACTTCTCAAAATGTCACAAACGATTAAAAGGCAGTTACAGAAAGGCCCGGCTCGGACCCTGACGGAAGCCAAGCACTCCTGGCTCGAGAACCAAAAATACGACGCATGATCAAACTCCAGCCACTTCAAACAGTTTAAACAGTTCAAAACAAGTACTGCCACTCCAAAAATTGATGCTTGAACTTTGTTGCACACATTTGCACAATCCGGAACCAGGGGTTTCGATCAAGAGCGGAATTTCACGGTCTTTCTTTCAGGAGCGAGGATCATAGTCGATCAAGGAAAAAAATACTGAGCTGGTTGATGAAAAACATGGTCGAACATTCCGCAGGAGATGAGTGATGTTGGCCCCCGAACACCAACCACGGCGGTATAAAATTGCGTAAATCCGACAAGTCCTTACACATCCAATGAAAAGAATGAAGAATGAAAAGGATGAAAAGAATAAAACCCACAGTGGTTTTCATCTCAACATCTTCAACTGGGGGCCCCTGTGAGTGGTCTTTTCGATTCGAGATCTCCCGCATTCGACACTGCGACAGCGAGATGCCCCAAGTGCAGTCCATTGTTCTTGCCGAAGGCGCCTGAGATGAGGGTAGAGCAAGTGACCAGACTCTACACACCTTTTGTGACCAAACTTTACGAGCCAAGTGTGACAAATTCAACATCCTGGTGCTTGGCAACGACGAAAGTACCACCAGTTTTGAGCTACAGTTGAAGGCTTGGAATTGGCAGGCCCACTTGGCACATGGCCGTCATGCAAGGAGGAGCTGCCTCAGCTGCCAACGAAGCAAATCAAATGCGAGATGAGAAGATTTAGCTTCCTGGCTCCATATTGAGCGTTGTATTGTCGCTCCAGGCAGCTGCAACAAATGTGAAAGTCATGAAGAATCGAAGAATGCTGTGTTGCTCAAAAGTGCTTCAGCACTCACCATGGGACGTCGGACCCGCGAGACCGCGAAACCCAAAGCTTGAATGGCGAAGCTATGTCCTCTGACCGCAGCCCAGGCTGGTGCAATCACTGCCGAAACGGCCTTGAAGCGACGAATGTCATAACACACAACAAATATAACAGCGAAGCGCGCAGCCTCTCCTATGGCACTAAGGACAATTTTCTCACCATCCCAAGCCAATCACAAAGAACAAAAGCTCAATAACGCCAAAATGTTGTTTCCTTCAATCCTTCTAGAAATCATCATAAACTTAAACCGTCTGACCATTTCTGACTCAGAGCTTGGAAGACGCTCTTTATTCATATTCCACTTCGATCAATTTCTGCATGATCTTCTTCCGTTGACTCACCTCGCGGCGCACCGTCGAGCTCACCGGCCTGGCATGCCTTGGTCAGTCAGGGAGTTTTGTGACATTTCTGGAATCGGCGGTGACCGAATCGATGGAAAGCGTGGAAAAAATGGGCGGTCGCAAAGCATGACAGCCGGATACAGCCGGATACATAGACCGGTCTTGTGAAAGTGTTGCAAGAGCAATGATGGAGATTGAAAGGGAATGGAAATCCTTCTACGCTGCTTCTTGCTTGGACCAAAATGATTAGGATGTTTGACGACAGGTGAGAGGTGAGGGGACCGGGCGGACCGGGGACAGGGAACAAAAGTCAAGCTCTGATGGCAAGGGCTGTCTTCGATTAGAAGAAACATCGATCAAGAATCAAGAAGCGGACAGAAGTGCAGCGGCACAAAGACGTTCCAGAAGCATTTGCACAATGACTTGGGGCGTCCGGACCAGTCAGTTCGCGCCTGAATGTCAAGAAGAAACTTGACACTCTGTTGATCTCTGTTGACTTAAATGAAGAAATCCACATTTCAAATCAATTTGCCCAATGAGGGTTGTTAACGAAGCACTTGACCTGTCAATCTGGCAACTGCATTGCTGACACCAAACATTCTGCACCATCATCGAAGAAAACACGAGTTACAAACATCCTAGTAACTTCTAACTGCAACGATGCGCCTGAAGGTCTGACCAGAAAGCGGTGGACGGAGTATTTGGTGATCCTGGAGGAAACATCGTCCATCACCTACACCCCACAATTTCGGAGTTTGTGCTCGACCGAAGAATGTCCTGAAGCCAAATGATGTGGACCTTGACAGGATCAAAATTAATCAAGGCTTGGGCAAGACTGGCAACACCGTGTTGACACCTTTCATCAGTGACAAATCAGTGTCCAGTTCAATCTATTTGAGGTGTATTGAGGTGTGGCGAGGCTCAGAGGCTCTTATCCACTGAATGCTTCACATGAAGCGCGATGTGCCCAGCTACCAGATTTGAGAGTGTCTGTCGTGCACGGTGAGGTTCTAAGTGCCGTGATGAACATCTTCCTGCCCCTTTTTCGCTTCAGGCAATTAGGTCGGTCCATCTTCTACAATATCATACAATAACATATGTGATGCAAGCACAACTTTGGTTCTGGGAGACATTGGCTTTGCGTGGCAGGATTGATGCATGCGATGCTGGCTCTTTTCCATGTATCAACTACATTGTCTGTGTAGAGATCCAGGCAATTCAAGCGACTGAACGAACGATAATACAACAAACATGGCTTTTGATGAGTCTCTGTCGTGCTGAACCCTGCTGTGCGCACCCTTTTGCTCAGTATCTCAGGAAGAAAGCACAGCAGCGGATCTGAGGCCCCTGCTTTGGATTCCCGTTGTCGGCGATGCAGCCGACACCTTGGCCATATTGGATAAAAACGGCAGCTGAGTATGAAAAAAGAAGTTGTCTTGCCTCAAAAAATCACAAACAGGTTAGATCAGGTTAGCATCTGCTCACGGTAGCCCTGCATGAACTTTGTTCGTTACTGAACTTTGCTCTGTATATTTGCACCCTGGCAGCCACCAAGGGTGAATCTACCATGTCAATGTAATCTGCGTTAATCTTCTGGGTATATACTTCTTTTTGCTGAGGACTCCAAAACCTTTGAACTGGCAAGTCGACCAGCATTGGGTATGCATCAAGTCTCCAGCAGGTGGCACGGCTACAATCTGCACCAATGGCGTTGAAGGAGTCTGCAGGGCCACATTGACATTTGAATCGGTTCAAGCAGCAGACCTGAAAAGTCTACAAACCTCAGAAAACCTCTTTCAGGCATTTTCAAGCCACAGCTGCGACGCACATATTCTCAGAAGCTCCCAGTGAATTCGTGATTTCCCACCTGCGCAGGTGTGGGGCTCATTGTCCGAGCTGTGAATGATCCTGGTTCGCGGGCAGGTCGTCTATGATCAAACAAAACAGGGGTGTTATGCGGAGCTTGTTGTTGACGTGGGGTCTAAATGTCCACCGTGGTTTCAAGACATTGCAGCATGAGCTCCACTGGCCAACACACCTAAGTCTCGTTCTACACGAACCTGGCCTCGCCCACAGCAATATTAATTGATAAGTAAAACCAACACTTGCGTTCAATCTGTATCCAAAGGACATACTACTCTGCACACAGGAAGCGTGTTGAACCAGCTCAGACACCTCTCTTGGATCAAGGAAAGCAGACCCTGCTCTGGGCCGAACTTCCCCCCTAGGCTCCTCGAGGTCGAGCCTCAGGTTCAGTGCGATGACTGCGGCTTTGAGCGCCTGGCGACGAAATGGGCCACAATGCAAATCCACAAGAGTGTTCTTTGGCATTGCCAATCTCCTTGATCACATATTTGGCTAGACTTGGAAGAAGGTTGCAGAATGGATCAAACTTGCCAGGATGACTAAATAGCAGTAGGTCAAACAGGATTAAATGATCCCAGGGCTTTCATTCAAGCGATTCAAGTGCAAACTATGGATTGGATTGAGTAATATAAAGGTTCTTCCTGGAGTCCCTGGCATGTCGTTGTATACTGGCTTGATGTCCAGAACATGCACCCAACACTTTGGGGCAGCGAAGGTTCACTTCATGAAGAAGTCTTGCTGGACCAAAGGACCCAAACAACCAGAGCCAAACGGAAAGTTTGCAAACATGCTGCATTTGGTCCTTTCATTGCATTTCATGGTATTTCCAAGTGTCTTCAATCTGAGAAGCTCAGATTGGGCTCTTGAGTTCACTGGCCCAATCCTCTGGCCCATCCTTCGTGATCCGCGCCTGGAGACAACGACAAGTGTCGTGCCGAGGCATTGGAAGGCCTCGCTGGTTTTGCCTTGGCGTTCTCTGAGGCATGTGACATCTTCCCCAAAAAGTACAGACATGCAGAGACAACGAATATGACACGACTATGACTGGCGACCCTTGACTCTGATCACGCATGAGTCTGGCACCAAAGTAGATTGCTGCAAATGTGGCTGCGTGGAAACCGCAAACCGATCAAGCATGATCCTACACACAGGAGCGTAGGATCTGCGGTCCGATGACCCAATCCCGTTGACTGGGACCGATGACCCAACTCCTTCGCTTCTTAAAAAGAACCTACAGCACACCATCATCGTCGCCCAATCAGGGGAGGATCCTGGTTGTCAAGGTCATACATTCCAGGTGAATTCCGATCTTTCCTTCAGCCAAGTCAAAAGGGTCTGGTGCCAGGCAGGCACTGCTCTTTCTCTACAAACGATAAGTTGGCTCAGCAAAAATGGAAAAGCAGGCTCCAAGCTGAGTGTGCAACTCCTTTGAACCCCATCGATGATACTCTGCAACACTCAGTGACTCCATCGGTTTTTCAAAGGAGATCTCAAAAAGGAGACACCGATCCAGCTCACCTTCAATGCGGATGCTCAGAATCGCTGGAAACATGGCTTCTCCCATTGCAAGAGCCAGGAAACTAGTCAGTCAGGTGATGCATCAGCGATGAATCCAGGAATTGTTCTTCCAATCCTCACATCTCGGATTCAGACATGTGCTGAAATCCTCTTAAAGCTCCAGCTCTTGTGCTGGTGTACATCATCAGGAATTGAAGATGGAATATTGTGAACACTCATCAGGTTCACACAGACTTCTTCCTCGGATGTTTGCACTGCACATTCTCCAAAACGCAAAGGACCCAGCGACTGTGACATCTCATAGCTTGCAGTTCTAAAACCTCGTGGGCTTGCTGTTAGGAGTAATTTTTTGAAGCCTGTCATGAGTGAGCTGGGACGCAGTTGTTGTCAACGCCAAAGTGAAGATCCAAGAAGCTTCGCTTGGATGACATAGACAGGATCCTGGAACCCGAGCCGGCACAGTGGCCCAGAGAGGTCGAGTGCTTCAGGACGTTCGAAGACGCTTGAGTAATGCCTTGAAAACAGATTGACAGTACCGAAAGTAAAGCAAAAAAGACAAGATTCATGGCACGTGTTTTAGATGGAAATTCTTGTTCTAAGTCCACTTGGCGAACATTCGGATATGCAGATGTGGGGTCGTGGCTCGCCAATCTTGCTGCCAAGGATCATGTAGCTGCCATAGATGAGAACCTCTTTTGACTGGACTGAACATGCGTGCAAGCGACTTAAAAGAACAGCGAAAAACAAAGGTCCCAGAAAATGTAGCCCTTGAAGCTGGCAAGTCACATGCTCCAGGTCCCCCGTCTGTAGCCAAATATTCACAGCCTGCCAATCTGACAGAGAGATGTGAAGCAACAGAGGTAAAGGATGGCAATTCTTTGGTGGCAAACGATTGTCTGCTTTAAAAAAAAGCAAAACCCTCGTCTTGTTCTCCTGCTCCATTCAAAGGATTCAACAATTGCAATAACAATACTGCATGAACCAGGCCAGGACTGATGTCAGAAACCTCTCTGGGGCGGCCTTTGTTGGAAAGCAACGATTGCTGGTGGAGAGGATCACCATGCCACCAGGCTTCAAGACACGGCCCACCTCCTTCATCACCTCAAGCATTGCATGGCTACTGCAGGGTGTGAGGGGCACAGCAGCCGTGCAAAATATTGAATGGTTTCGGGAATCGGTGTGTGCTTCAAGCACGGCGACATACTACAACAAAAAGTATACTTCTGACCCTGACTGAGACTTGCCAAAGCCCCAACTGAAATGGATCAGTTCCCAAAAACGCGGAAACAAATCTTTTCCTAGGGTTTGCCAATGCATGGTTAAGAGATCCGTCTTGTAAAACGTACTCTAGCAGCAGGGGACTTGTGAGATGCTCTATGCTCCTGGTGTCAGTCGTACAACAGATTCTCAACTTGGCATAACAAGACAAACAAGAACAGTCTGCCAAGTATCTGTTGCAATTCCCTAGTGGTAATAATTTGTTTTGGTGTTGTTTTTTTTGCTCATGAGATCTGGTTGGAGTGCCCGTCGGTTGCTAACTTTAGCGAGAGGCAAAGCAGTCCACCTAAGACACAAGAATAAAAACTAGGAATTGTTGAAATAAACCCACGATATGATATTATACGAGTGTGAAAGATTTAGTTATTGGGGTGTGTAGAATTTGTAGAAAAAATGTTTTTGGGTTAGCCCCATTAGCCTGCGTATTGCAGTTTGGCACCTCCAGAGGCTTGCACAAGTAGTCAAAGGACACCGTGCAGGTGACAATGTCAAAGGACCTCAAATTGCTGAACTGATCACATGTATGAGCACAGGGTTGTGTATTGAAATGGGGAGACCCCAAAGACCCCGTGGCAAACGAAAATAGGCCATCTCACATTGAGATGGCTTGTGAATGTGCACAGATGTACTTCGAGGCTGCGTGTACACCATCGTCGTGTCTACCTTACGCAATGCTGAGGGTGGCCACAGCCGGAAACATTCGCCGCTCATGAAACAGCAAAGGCCATCAAAGGCCAAAGATCCATGGGTTGGGGCGGTTGGGGGTGGTCTTCGCATTCCAGCAATACCCACATGGTGTCCCACATGGTTCTTAAGATGCTGTCAATCATACATACCAGCATCTAGTAGCTACTAGCAGCTTCTTTGCTCCTAGTAGTAAGGACAGGAGCCCCTAGTAGCGATGCACTTGTTACTAGTAGCGATGAATTGCTCCGCCTCTCGACCTTTGGACCCACCTTTTCCTCGTCGAGAGACGAGTCCTCGTAGGGAAGCTTCGGGTTCTCGTTCAGGTCTCGAACCTGGGAAGGCTGTCTGTGAACACGTGCGATCAAGCATCCTTCTGGCACGTTCAAAACATGATTCTGATTCATGAGATACCAATATTTCGGCACAAGCTTGCTGGCTTTAATAGCAAACACTATATATACGTATACAGTATATATATAAAGACTCCCTGGGTTCTTCTCTCTTTTTACCGCGATGCAAGACCTTAGTGGTCAGATAAAGTAAGAAATTCGACCAAAAAATTCAGTAGAAGAGGCCCCTGCCTCTGACTCCCCCCACTGCTCCCCCGCCAAGCCGGGGTGAGCGTGAGCCGCAAGAGTCAGGGTGGTCCCGGGCCCCGCCAAGCCGGGGAACGTCCGGGCCACCACCCTTATTTCAGATCATCCTTTGATCTCTTTTCTTCCTCCCGCCGGCGGTGTTGAATTCAACGAGAAAAATTCTACTTCTTGGCGCGCTTTCTGCGCTTCTGTTTCTGACCCTTTCCCACGACCTGAGGACAGGTGTAGTGCGAAAGGACGTAGTCTTGACCTGCAGCATTGCGGGGGTAGGGGCGACTCTCTTCACGAAGAAAAGTGCGGTAGCGCTCCATAGCTTTGTCATAACGTGCTCTGGTCTTACTTTGGACGGTTAAAGTGCGAAGTGGTCCCAATCGTCTCCTTTGTGCTTGCCTTGCTGCTTTACTCCTACCTTCTACATGAGTTCCAGACTTCTTCACCATTTCTTCTTTACTGGCCGCCTCGATGGGCGGTCCGCTGGGTTTTGTGAAGTATGGACATACGCCCATACTCCATGACTCCCCGAAGCTAGGAGTAAAGCGTCAATTCGACTCAGGGTTCGCCTCATCTTCCGGCTGCTGCTCCGGCCCCGAGCCAAACAATGCAAGCACACGAGACTGTCGATCATATGCACCATCTTCGTCCGAAAAGCACGTCGCTTGAGAATGCGCCATCTGATGCTGGTGAGGACGGCCCTCAACTCGAGGACGTTGATGTGTTCAGGGGACCCTGACCGTCGCCACCCCATCACGGTGCGCCATTTCCACAGCTTCGCTGGAAGACTTGCTCTCAACCTGTGGTATCGAAGAGTATCTTCGGACGGCGCCTGTAGCATGATGTCCTCACCCTTGAGGCTGACCAAATTCAGGAGCTTCTTGACCAGAGTAAGCTCCCCGGTGACTTGTCCCTCCTTCCTCCCCGACTGCATAGGAGGCCTATAGAGGAGTCCTGCTAGTCCACCTGATGTCCCAGGAGCTGTCACATCGACCGCCTGCTGAGGTGATAGGAAAGGACATAGGCCCAGTTGTCCACCCAACTGTGATATGAGCCATGTGACTACGGTAACGTTCCATGAGTTGCCGATCAAGGTCTTCCTCTCATCCAAGTGCTGTGGGGAGCCCTGCCATTGCTTGGCCATGCATTGGACCGTGTAGTCCTTGGGGAACCCCATGATCACCTCCCGTTCTTGTATGTCAGGCAGACGCGGTTGGTTCTTGGCATCCACGATCATGAACTTCTCTTGGTATTGGTATGGTGGGAAACGGAAGTGATCTTCTTCCCACCTGAGTTTTTTCTTGTGCGTTCAACTTGTCCAAGCCAGCTGGTCTCCTCCCTGCAAAGTCCCTTGGCCTCGACGTGGTGAACGTAGGGAATGGCTCACCCGAGACCTTGGTGCACCCTGGTTGCAGATAGAGCTTGGTCTCCACAGCGGCCTCCAACTCCACCTTCTTGAATGCAGCGTCCCCGGAACCCTCCAGGGGGCCTACTGAAACACCTTGAGCTGGCCTCAGCTCCCAGTCACACCAATACAAACGCGGCCTCCGAGCAAGCGAAACCCCGCACGCATCAACGTGAACAGGTATATCACCAAACGACCTGGTCATGACCTGCCTGTCGTGTGTATCCATGCTGGCGACACTCTCGGCCAAATAGCGCACCTGTGCCCACTTGAACTGCTTTCTCACCATCTCCCTAATTCGTTCGACATGGATAAATAAGGAGCTACGGTGATCGCGTAACGCTCCCCGACGATCGACATTGAGCCCACTCACTCCTTGACACGGGGGACCCGCGCCCACAAGAACGAGTGAGACTTGCGAGAATCGACATGCCCACTGCTTCACCTCCTCCTCTGTGACAGCCTCGACACCTGCCTCCAAAAACAACGTGGCTGGAAACTTGCTTTCCAGCACCCGACTGGCAGCCTTGTTCACTTCCACGCTGACGTGACCTACGACTGCCAACCCACACGCGTCGGCCGCCACGCGGAGAGCACCTATTCCGTCAAATAGCCCGATGGTGAGCACCCCATGCAGATCATGAGGCTCTGCAATGTCACCCCTGATGGTCGCCTCCGAAGCTGCTACCCCAAAGCCAGTGAGACCTGTAGTGACTGTGAGGCCTCCTCCTGAGGTGGAAGCATCACTTGCGGTGACTTCTGAAGAGATGCCCAATCGAAAGTCCAACTTCGCCAACGGGATGAGACAGAGGAACCTGGCCACCTCCAACTTGACCCCGTCGGGAATCGGCAATTTGATGACCGGTGGGTACCCACGAAAGGCCTCAATAAACCTCCAGATGTGGTTCAGGGACCCCAAGAGGGGTCGCCTAAACATACTCAAATACACCAACCCCCCAGCTATCACTTGCGCTTGCTTCTGGTTACTCACGGCCTCCTTCAAGAACAGGAGAGACAATGCAGTGTACTTGTAGACCTTGGATGGCTTGGGGTATGCCACACCTTGACCTCCATCAATGATCGCACCCTGCACCTCAGCCACGAGAGAACGCGAGACGGCCTTCTTCGGGTGACGTGGAACACCCCATACCTCATACTCAGCTCTGAGCGCAATGATGCCCGGACTGCACTCCCCGTCCAGGAGTCCATGAGACTTCTTCTCCACCTTTTCCAACTGATCAAAGTTGTCCAGGTAGATCCTGTGGAGCTCTGATGATGAAGAGAAGGGCCTGTCCTTACGAATCTCCTGCTCAGCTCGGAGCCATCACTGGTTCGGTTCGATGCCATCCTCACAATGTTCCTGCGCACATGCTGGGCCAGGCTAACAGAGTTCTTGAACCCCATCGGCAACACCTGAGAGGCGATGTAGTATGGTCCATCGTCACCTGGCCACATGTCTGAGGGGATAGGCTTGTTGAAGGCCAGGAAAGGGTGCCACTCACTTGGCACCCGGGATATATAAAAAAAGCAGCGCACATCTTCAGATGAGACCACTAGATCCTCTGTAGGCATAAGTTGTAGTGGCCCCATCGTTGCCCAACTAGGTAGGGTGGCTACGTCACCTTCCAATCCTCTACAGACGTTGTTGCATGGCCTAAGATCCATGATCAGCCTGTGAACAGGCATTCCGTCCACCACCTCGTCCTTCCTGACTCCAAAAAGTCCGTTAAGCAATGGTTGCCCATCGATGTGGTAGATTTTGCTTTTGGGTAGAATGGTGCACACCCCATTCTTCGTCAAGCCTTCACACACTTCACGCCAATGGTCATCATGCACGAGAACACGAGGCCCCTTCATGGTTTGCTGCATCTCCCCGGGGAGGAGATACTCTGTGAAGTTTTCCACGTAATGCTTGCACCCCAACTCACACACGTCAGCTAAATCAACAGAGGCGATCTCGGCTGGCATAGCCGGTGCCAGATTGGCCCAAGTTGTGGACTGGGCGCAGAGCACCTCATCCCCACAATAATCGATGGTTTTCAAATGAAAGAAGTCCTGCCACGAAGTCTGCTCCAGTCGTTCAGGCCACTCTGATGCCACTTGAGCCTCTCTAGCTAAATGCCTTATCGCCTCAACCTGAAGTGAAGTAGGGTGGAAGTCATTCTCAGCGGCCTCCCCGTAAAACAGATTGAGCGCCAAGCACATCCCTCTAACAATACCAACGACGTCCAGGTCCAAACCCGTGATGTCCCTTAACTGCAACGCGTTGGTGGGCAATGGAAACACATCGCCCTTGGGCTGGGTCCTGCATCGCTCGACCAAACCTATTTTCCGACAAAGATGAACCAACTCGTTCACTAGCCAAGGGACAACCTGAACCAAACCATCCCCTGCCACCGGCGGCTGCATGCAATCTTTTTCCGCAGACGAGGTCATCAACGAGGTCTCAACTGCAGAGAGGCGTGAAGAAGTGGCTGTGCTACCCAGCCAAGCGCCTCGGGGTTGCTCTGTTCCTGCTTCGTCGACTTGACGGCTTGGTTTCAGAGCTCCATTCAAAAACGTGGCCTCCTCTTCAAACGGGCCTCCATCGAAAGAGGGGGGATCCCCTCCTGTACCTGGCATCGACGAGAGCTTCTCTTTCACTTTTTCTGGTCGCTCTTGTCCTTGCCACGCTTTCCTTTGCCCTTTGCTTCCTTTCCCTTTCCTTCGCTGCCATAGTCGCGCCACTGCCAATTGTCTGACTTTCCTTTTCCCTTGGATGCTTCGCTGCGAGTTTTCTGATCCTCTTTTTGTTCTCTGATAGCCTCTTTTGCTTCTCCTCTTGAGGAAAGGAGAGGTCGTTCCGGCGGTAAGACCTCGAGCCGCTGGGCGATTTGCCACGCCGATCCCTGCGACACCATCTCCACCGACTTCAGCCTCTGGACCAAGGCGTCGACGCATTCGGCCATCCGACCTTGTAAGGCCAGATCGATGGCCCAGCAGAGGGTCAATCCCTCTCGACCTGGCCCGCCTTGAAGACGTGGCGCCAAAGCTTGGCGGTAATACTGCACCGCCAAGGGCTGTATTGCTGTCTGATCTTGATGCCATACTCCACCACTTGCTGTAAGCAGGCTGCCCTGCATCTCCCGCATCGGTCGCCGGACTTTCTGCTGTTCCTCGAAAACCTCCACGGACTCGGATGTGCTGGTCTCCTCGCTCCCGGAGCTCCCCGAAGAGGAGGAATCCTTCTTCTTCTTCTTTGTCTTCTTTTGAGCCTTCACTGCATAGCGTCGGCGATATTTGGGGTCCGGGTCCAAGCCCGTTCCGCCGAACACGTCCTTCAGCTCCTTGCGGGCTCCTGCTTTCAGATCGATCTTTGCTTTTTCCTTCTCTGGGCTTTCGCTCCTCTTTCTCTTCCTCTTGTCTTTCTTCTTGGCCGTCTTCTCCTCTCCAGGTGAAGCCTTGTCTCCTCCTGCTTTGCTCACCTCTCCGTCCCTCTCCCCGACTAGGAGGGGGGGCTCTGCTGTCCTCTCGGGCTTGGAGGCCTCCTCGACCAAGTTGGTCATCCATGGGTCGTCCTCCCCCATCCTCTTTTGGATCAACGTGCCGTGGATGAAGTCCTCTGCCTCCAGCTTCTCGGGACAGTTGTCCCCGCACAGGTGAACTCGCAGCCTCTGGCCACTGTGGCCGGTGGCCCACTTGAGCAAGGCCTCCTCTGTTGTGCCCTGCACCCTGACTTCCAGCTCCACATCCTTGGGCATTCTGATGGAGAGGTTCTCCACCAGTCCAGACACCATGCATCGAGCGCCCCAATAGATGCCCTCGACGCTGATTGGCAGACCTCGACGAAGTACTTCTAGTGGTATCTCCTCGCATTTCACCTTTTCACCTCTTCCAAAGCTCACTCCCTTTGCGGCAAGGCGCAACACCTCTCCTTCTAACTCTGCTCCTTCTTCTGCTCGGCCTGCTTCTCTAGCAGCTGGCCTTCTCCTCAACGCTCCTCCCCGAGCGGGAGGTGCCCTCTCACCTGCTGCAGCTGGTCGACGCCTTGGGGGCATCTCCTACTGTAGCCTTCAGAGCTCGTCTTCTTGAGCTCGATACCAATGCCTCTCACGCTTCTTTGCACCCTTGTTCTCACCGTAGTACTTGGGTTGCAACTTCCACGCTGCAGGCTTTCCGTCCCAACGCTTGACCGCTGGCCTGATGATAGGCGGGGTCTTTGAAGGCGGGTGATGTCTCCCCGGAGGTGACTGAGATGGAGTGTGCGGTGGTCGAACCGAAGGCCTAGCCCTCAAGTCTGCTGGTACAGCCTCTCGAATCCTCGGCACTGGCTCACTCGCCTCTTCCTTTCTGGAGCTCCTCCTAGGCCTTCTTCGGCTTCTTGATCGGGTCTTACTGGCTCGCTTCCTCTCCCTTCTGCCTCTGCTCCGTGTCCTGCTCCTCCTTCGTGAAGGTGGGTCTGGATCTCGACGATGTCCTTTCGATGAGCTTGTATGCTTGCCTTCCTCTTCAACCTCAGCTGGACTCCTCTCCCTTTGGTCAGGTGACCTTGTCTCTTCCTCTTCGCGCTTGGGCGCTACCCACGACTTGTCTTGTCGTTCTTCAACTTCTTCTCCTTCTGTTCTCCCCGGAGCAGGAGATGTAGTCGAGGCCGGACTCTTTGCCTTGGGAGCTGTTGTCTTGCCTGCCTCCTCCTGCAAGCGACGGTGCTCCTGGTGCTTGTCGGCCTCCTCCTGTAGGATGCTGGTCCAGATTCTGAGGCTAGTCAAAGCCCAACCACGGAGGGACACTGGGAGCTCGTCCAAGATGAACCAAAAGCGATTCCTCGTGCGACAGAAGGCGCACAAGACCTCTTGCTCCCCGCACAGGAGCCCACAATCCCTGCAGACCATAGGCTGTGAGCCAAACTCTATGGCGAAAAGCGAATCGAACACGGTCGTCTTAATTTCCGGGGGCGTCACTTCATATATATCACTGAGACTAAGCAGTGGGTCAGATCTGCAAGGGTTGGATCGCACATGGTTTTTTACAGAAAAAAAACATAAAAAATATATTTAAAAAAAAAGAAAAACACAGAAAAACACAAAAAAAACAGAAACAAATAGAAAAACTAGGTTTTTCTATTTTCAGCAGCCCATTGACGCACAATTGATCATGTGTGACAACAACAATTTGTTCTTTTTTGAACACACTTGCCACAAGCAAGCAAGCGTCTGAGACCACAACAGTCTGCAGAATCTCAGACTGTTCCTGTCAGACAACGCTCACCACGAGAGTGTTTTTGCATATATTTCTATGTTTTTTTTTTTTTTTTTTTTTTTTTTTTTTTTTTTTTTTTTTAGATTTTTGCAGAAAATTTCAGATTTTTTCATGTTTTCATGTTTTTTCATATTTTTTCATTTTTAAGATGTTTAAAGATGATTTGAGATATTTTGAGATATTTTAAGATGTTGCTCCTGGAAAATTATGTTGTAATTCCGAAACCCTTTACCACGAACCCCGGCTTGTGAGATGATTTGAGATATTTTGAGATTTTTTAAGATTTTTTAAGATTTTAAAGATTTAAAAAGATTGTTTTTTGCTTTAAAATGATTTAAAATGATTTTTTTTGATATTTATTTCATTTTTTATATGTATTACATTTTTGTTATATTTAGTTCATATTTTTTATATTTATTTCATGTTTTTTATATTTATTTCATTTTTTTAATTTTATTTATTTATTTTCATTGAAAAAACCATTGCTGATCTAGACCACTTGCAATCTGACCCACTGCTTAGTCTCAGTGAATATATAAAGACTGTTTCTTGTGGTGTTTAATCTTTGAGAATTCGCCTGATGGCTTTAAAAAGAGCAACACATGCAAAGCAGTTGAGCAACTTGAACGCGTCCTTCTTTGGCTGTGCAAACGAGGTTATTCCAAATTGCTACAGTTCCGCGCGGTGTTTCCACTTTGCCGCATTCTGTTCACAGACATCAAGCCAGGAGCCCAGTCCGAAGGATGAAACAAAAACAACTTTTCAAGTTCACTAAGTAACTACTATTTGTAGCTTCTTGTTACTAGTACCAAAAGGAACCTAATAGGAATGGCCTCCCTAATAGCGTCCTTGCTTTCCCAAAAAGTATTCTGATGTCAGAAAACGTTCTATCTCATATCCCGGAATCAACCATTGAATCCTGGGAATTCCCGCAGGCACTAAATAATGACCATAAAGATCATAAAGGCCATTGTGAATACACATCAGTTTTGCATACTTTTGCCTGAGGGCAGCTCAGGCCAAAACCAGCAGGGGAGCAGTCACAAGCATAGCATTGCAAACCAATGAAAGCAAATCGCAAAACCTGTGTGGGATGAGACTATGTGGAGAGGTGTGCCGAAGGCCAAAACCTTCTTAACAGCTTCAAGTGGTGCTTCTGACACACCAACTCTCGTACAGTAACTGGGCATCGATTTCATAAAGTCAGGTGGTGCTGCGTTGAATATCAAAATGCGAAAGAGCTAAAACAACCAAGGCTTCAAGAAGAGCAAACGTCACTGGAACAAGCAAGCAAACGACAAGCTGAGGAATGCAAGTGTATGCAGCACGGAGCACACAAAAACTGGCAGCAGGGAAGAGTAGAGTCAAGCCAACTCTTGTCAATACAGCGACTGATTCTTGAAATTGACCGACGGTGTTCCAGTTGAGAAGCAGACTATACTCCAGGCAACAAGCCAGGAGGAAACAAGCACGGGGAACAGGTATCTGCAAACAAAGAATGCATAAGCTTTATCCGGCCGGCGTTTAGCAACCTCGAAATGATCTGAAAAAGCAATGACATGGTAGGAAAATCAGCACAGGGATGGGTATAGGCCACATCCTGAAAGCAATGACTTGATGTCTGTGTTGGCTTTTGGATCGATCCACAGGGGAAAGGCCACACAGAAATTGTGAGTTGCTAGATGCTACAGTTTGGAATAGCCTCATTTGCGCAGCTGAGGAACAGCACATTCAGGCTGCTCAACTACTTTGCAACTGTTGCTGTTTCTTTTTTTTCGCAACGTCCAGCGGCATCCTGCCTCCAGCCACCGAGCGAAAGATGACAAAAGACCGCCTCAAACTGCCCTGTGTGTCAGTTGACTATGTTAACTCAGTGTGGCACTGTGTAGTCATCGGCCTGCTTGTTCTGCTGCAATTCATATTCCTTGGGGCCCAAAAGCAGACTGAGACTGCACGGGAACGTCCACTTTTTTCCGCATTTCCGTTGTGGTGCCTCGACACAAACCAATTACTGTAGGGCTATTCCCAGCATAAGCGTGAAAGAAACCTAAAAGGCACGAAGCAACCAGAAGGCACTGAATCGACAGGGGGTCTTCCGAGCCCCCCAAGCACGAAATACCAAGCGAACACTGAGAAACACTTCTCTTCGGGAAGAGAAATGTAGGTCTTTACCATCATTGCAAGTAACGAGAATAACATATGTTTTGAAGTCCAATTGGTCCAGGGTACAAACAGAACATGCTCAAAACATAGCACTTGTGCAAAATGACTTACAAACGTAAAAGCATCCTCACACCAGAGCCTAGCAAGCAGCTCCAGGCAGGGGTAACCAAAAAAAACAAAAATCCTGCATCCCATTCAAAAGCTATACAGGCACTGGCACAAACACACGTCTAGAGTCTACCTCCTTCAAGGACTCCGCGCACATGGCACTAAGTCTGCTACAGTTCCTTTCATTCGTAACCATCTACTGTCCAGCTAAGGAGCATTCATACCTGTAATTGAGACCTCAGCAACTCGGCACCAAGCAATTTGCAGATTTTCTTTTCAACAACTTTATGCCAAGTCACATGGGACCAGGTCTTCTCTGTTGGGTAGTGACTGATCCAGCTTGAACAAAGATCCTCAGGTGGCCAGCATTGAGATCAACAGCATCCTGTGTTCTTCCAAACCACAACCCTAATTGCTGGAAAGGTTCCAGTATCCTTGCCTTGGCGAAGGATTGTTCTTGCTGTCATTTGACAAGAATCAAGCTGAAGGAAAAAGCTCTCTCACATTGACAACAGTGCATGCTGATTTCCAGAAGCATACGACCAGTGTGACTGTTGCGAACAGGGTCGCATTGGGATATGTTGGGAACACCTTGCCATAGTGCTTGTTCAGCGTAGCAATAAAGTTGTCCTGGGGCGCAAATCTGTCTCAGCAGTCTGGAAAACCAGGACAGTTGTGAATGAAATGTCTTGGCATACCTTGGATGTAATTACTGCGAATTGTGTGGCTTTTCAGTGGCAGCAGTAGCATTCCGCATTCTGCCGAGCGGCATCCACATGGGTACAAATCCGTGGATGTGTGTAAAACCCTGTGTCGGTGCTTTCGTCTTGTCGCGCAAAGTCTGCCTCGATCCGAGCCGTCGTTCGAGATCTAATTGAGACTGATGTCATGCTTTGCAAAGACATATTTACCTTTTTTGACTGCAAGGTCGCCAGTTCACGACTGAGCCTCCTTTCTACACGCTAAAATGCAACACCACACAGCTATGGTCACAGTCACATCAACATCTATGTCGTACCGATACAGTGCTAGATTGATCTGGTTTATCGCATCCGGGCAATGAGACACAAATCAACTTTGGGGCCACGCCTCTGTGTAGGGCCACTCCTCTGGCCAACGCACCTGCAGCTTTGCAGGGCAGTGCATCAATGAATATCGATGTATGTCATCATAGAGTGTCGGAGGGTACATGATGTAGACTGTTGATTACACCCCCCCATATGGGCCCCATATGGATATGCAAAACCAGCTCTGCTGGTGACTTACTTGCTATCATTCCAGGCTCTGTCGCATCATGCAACACTACTTCTTGAGCTAGCAGCTAGACTGTCCTGATGCGTTCTTTACAAAAGGAAAGATGCAAACAAAGTCTTTCAGACTCGGAAACAAGAGGTCACGAGTTCAAGATCGATCCGTCTTGGTATGTCTTGGTGAAGAATACTCTCGACCCTCTGAAGCGCGGATTTCATCGCTTGACCCAGAATGGCCTCTCGCATGGTCTGGGCTGCGTCCCCAGAAACAAAGCTTCCGGGCCATCCACCCTGAACATGACCACTGTCAAAAGAAGCAAAGAGATGAAAAAGGGAAGGTACAGGTGCCCTTACCTTCTTTTGTTCATCTCTGTTTTCTTCTTTAGGACTTCTTTTGGGACAAGCAGTTTCCAGATAAAGCATAGTGGCCAACATATTGAACGCAACACAACGAAGACGGAGCCTGGCGCAGTTGTCCATCTTTCAGCAAAGTACATGTCTACTCGCAGTGGACTACGTGAGCAAATATACAAATACAATCAAATATTCGTTCCTGCCCATGAAACAACGCACGAAAGCAGTAAGCAGCCCCAGGAAATGAACAGAAACGGCTCTTTTGAATTACAGTATGTGTGTCTCATTGCTAGCCCCACACAAGCTGCCTTAGCACGCACCTGGGTGGCAGCGCTTGACCTGAAAGTGTCTCTCGAAGAGCTCAATCGCAGTGGCAAGACAGCATCTCCATACGATGACAAACCATGAAGACTGGCCATGACAAATTATATTATACAGTATAAATGTGTTCAACCTGCAGCTCGAAAATGCCTCCTTCGTCCGAAGCCCAAAATGCCACTCAAAAAAGCCATGCCTCCAGGAAACCGTAAGTTCAGGCTTTGCACACAAAAGACTTAGACACAAACAAAACGGTCACATCCACACCTGAGAGCGTCTGGCCATGCGAAAGTCTCCCTTGCTTTCTTCCTTCGTTCGCCCACGGCGACGATGCCCGGATGGGCGACCTGGAGAATCCGAATCCGATGCCGTCCACCGATCGGGCGACCCGGTCGAACGTGGCCGTCTACTCTGCCTCAAAACATCAGAGGGGACAGGAATCACAGCGACGGCGGTCAGGGCCATTTTTGGGCCCCTCGGGCGCTTGAAGAAAGCAGCTGCGGTGGCTGCAGCAAATGCTTTAAACGTCGGAGAAAAAATATTTGACTTGGATCTGCTAATAATATATGCTATATAATGCTCAGAAGGCCTTCCCACAATCCGTAAAACACCGTAAAACTATGTAAAACCATACGTTATCATGCGGTGTCATAGTAGTTTCATGCTTTCCAGTGCGTTCGTATCTTTTCCATGTCCTATCCATTCCTGTCCGATTCCGATGCGACCCGAGCTCCAGGCATTCAGATCTAAAAGCTGCGACCTGCCAGGCAGATGCTTCGGGTGAAAACTGCCGACGGTATCTGAGTTTGTTGGATCATGAAAACAAATCAACAAATATCAACAATATCTTGATCCCACCATCGCACGTCTCCTCAAAAGCATCCGGTCGACAGGAACACTGGATGATCAGCTTAAGGTTGGCTTTACTTGAAGATTGAAGTTTAAACGAAACTGGCATTAATTTGGCAGTGCTTCAAGACTTGCCAGGTGATAATTCAACTACTCCGTGTGGAGTACCCGAAAGGTGCCTCAAGTGACGCAAAGTAACTGCCAATTCTTGTTTCCTGCCAGATTCAGCTGCGCGAGCTACACCTCTAAGAAATTCATCGGGATGAGCATTCAATGAATGCTGCCCAACCTTACCACAAGAGAGGGTACAAGTCATCCAACTCCTTTGACCTGTCGGCTGTGACACTGTCAGCCTCAAAAGGGAGCACATCAATACTTCAAAGACTCCAAGCTATCTTCAAAGACTGTTCAGCAGGAGTCCTCCAATCAATGGATCGCTCAGCCTCAGCCAACCTGTCATGGTTTTTGCATGTACTTATTGTCTTTCAAAAGCCTGATCTTGCAAGAATATTCCAGGACCATGTCAGGACCTGGCCAGGACTACATCCATTCCTCAGCACTTGTAGTCGTCCCACAAGACAGTTGCTATGAACATTCCACAACGAGGCCCGAGCCTGGAAAGGCCTGGGCTGCGACCCTGCCTTTTGATTGTGAGGCCTTTTTGTACAAGATCATAGAAGCTTTATGCAGAGCTCACCCACTTGTGTCACCCGTGGTTGCCCCCCCAAACATGCGTGTCCACGATTGCTCGCAAGCTCTCATCAGCTCATCCGTGGGAGCACTCGGTGGCTCTGGCCTAAGGCACTCGGTGATCTCTGAAATCGAGACAAAAATCCCGAGATTCACGGAAAGTCGGATGTGTTGAAGAACCGAAAAATGGTCACGGAGTTGGCAAGTATGTTTATACTTCATGTTGAAATGGTCTTCCATGTTTCACGATTTCGGAACATTGGAATTGGTTAATTGATGTTGAGTACGTGCAAAATGCTTACTCGTTCTTAAACATCGATAGCCTGTCAGAAGGGTGGTGAAGGTGCCTCCACTGGTCCAGCAATGTCGAGGGTTGGTCCACTTATGCTATTTCTCTATGATCTCTGTGAACGCGTAAGGAAAAAAATGAGAATCGCTCACCCAGCGACGAAGCCGGAGCAGCAGGTGGAGCAGCCGGAGCTGTGGGCACTGGCGTGGACGCCGGTGTAGCCACAAGCCGTGCCTGGATGGATGAGTTTGATGGAATTCAGACAGACCACGCTATAGCAAGGAGACTGTTCTTCTTCAGGGCCCAATGGGCAGAAGAAGGCACCTTCTGCCTGCAATCCTTCACCACTTGGAATGGACTGCCCAAAGTCACAAGATCCATCCGTAAGTTCATTACTAGTACACCAAATTCACAAATTCCACATGGTTTGCCGGGTTTGGCTTTGGGGACCTTCGGTTCGCCCCATGGCCGTTGTTTTCCTCGCTTCGGTTTCCGTCCCATCCCGCACCGGTGGAGCTGGCACGTTGTACACCACGGAAGGACGAAAAGTCCTACAACCTGAGCAGGACGCAACACGCTGATTTTCTTAGCTCAAGGTCGCCTCCCTTAATTAGGTAAGGGAAGACTAGTTAGCTACCAGCAAGCTCCCAGCTAGGGCACTCGCACTAATGACTGATTTAGTTCCTTGATTTTTAGAGAAACTTAACTGGGAGCAACAGGACAAAACGCCACAGCAACAACACGTCGGCAAGCTCAGGCGCTCACTGCCCATTTGGCTGGGAACTGGGCCACAAACTGGCACCGAAGCACGGAACAGTTGCGGGAAGCTTCCAGTTGTGGCAACACATGCATGAAGAATGTCTGAGTCAGCATGATTGATTGATCACGGCAGATTGGAAGAGCACCTTGAGAAGTCAATCAGATGTTGCGGCTCCGAATCGACTCAAACAAACATGTAATGTAGGGCCAGGCTACATACTACATACATCAGGGGCACATCAAATACGTGCTACAATACAAAACATACCCCGGTGACGGCTATTCCAGAAATCTCCAGAAAGCTATTCTTTTCCTCACAAAGATCAACAGCAGATTCGTCACTATCAAGGGCAGTTGCTTGACTGTACCCTTTGTATGCCTTCGTTTTCTGCCAAGGTCTATCTTGGATCAATGATCAATGTGGCTCGAGTCTCCCTGCCTGGACTGCTGGAAACAACAAAGCCCGGATTGGAGGGCCTCTCATCAATGCACGGTCGCAAGCCAAGCCATTTTATCATGAGAAATGCAATTTCTAGCGTGTCTGGGTGTCAAAAAATTGCAAAACCATGCAAAACATCTTAGATTGAGATTCTTTTGTGCTATCGGATCCAAGCACAGCCAGAACGCGATGATATTAATATTATTGGATTATTTATATAGGTACAATAAGTCTGGCAGTGAATATCAGGGACTAAAGCGCTATGGGTATATGGCTCAAAATGCCCTCCAAACATCTCCAAACCCACTGGTAAGAGGTAAAAGACAAACCTCTGGATACCTGGGTCTTGGGTGTTTGAGCTGCAGTAAAAAAAAATAAAGCCTGCGGCCCTGCGCTCTTCCCCACCAAGGCACATGGTCACCACATGCCGGGTCCTCAGTCAGGATCCCGACCAAAACACCAATTCAGTCGTTGAGAAAAACACCAAATGAATGGCATGAATGGGAAAGTAAACATCGCATTCTCAACAGATGGGGCATGGCCATCGTAACACTGGAATGCTAAGAACAAAGAACCCGCTCAAGCCCAAGAATCTGCACACGTGGTGTACTTGGCAAACTCGGTGGCTCCCTCAGCAGGCCGACAATCCCAAAAAGGAACTCAAAAACAAACAAAACTCGCTGAATCTTGTCTTGCTGAGACAGAAACCTGGAACATGGAATGAACTGGAGTTGCATGGATGTGCTCGACACGAACTGAACTGATCCAACCCACTGAAACCATTCGAGTCGAGTTGCGTTGCTTCGGAGGCCCGATCCCGAGGGCTCTGACCCAGGATCCTGGACGGCCAGGACGGCCAGGACGGCTGGGACGCGTCTTCCGGAGCAGATCATCGTTGGAAGGTGAAAACTGCTGTTCATGCGAACATCATCAACCATAATGAACACCCTTTTCTTTATAATTCTTCATTACTTAAGTTGACGTTGGGTGTCCCACAGGTGGGGATTGATATCTGACGGAACAGCAAACTCCTGTGGCAAAGTGCGCAAAGTGCAGACTTGGTAGAAGTTATTGCAGAGTTCTTGCTAGAATTCACAAAGACTCCCACTGACAAACAAAAAAAGTTTAATATGCAAATGTGCAGCGAACGCCCCACAGAATAGGACCCAAGAGTATTGTGGGGGGCGTAGATATCTCCGTATTGACAGGTTTAAGTCACAGGCTAAGTAGAGCCTAGGTAACATCGAGTTCTACCCTTTTCTGCGTCTTGTCTTTAAAGACCCCCAACATAAACCTTTAATGACGACTACTCTTGACCTTTGCTGTGCTCAGATCGCCAGGGAGAAAGCTGTAGGACTGCGGATGGAAGAAAGCTATTGGGTCCGTCCCATCCGCTGGTCTCTTCGCAGCACCTGTTGGACATCGGCGCCCTCCTTTCCAACTGCGGAGCTCGGGGTGAAGGTACCAAGCCTCACAAGTGTCACCAGGACCCGTACTACCAGAGATCACTCGTTTGGAGAGTACCCAAACGCAGAAAAAGAATGAAATGGATGAGAAAAAATGCATACTGGTGTCAATATCTGGGCTTCGGGCTGTTACATGCGGACGCACTTTGTTCGGAGGCCTGTGGCATCCGAAATTAATTCCGAGCCACAACATCCAAGATATGCGCTCCATTGGGAAACTTATCGGCAAACTATGATTCAGCAGGCATGCACGCTTGTTCTGTCCATTCTATTTGCTTCGTTTTCTAGCTGCTGTGGAAATGCTCCCTGTCCAGTGTCCCAAATACTCTCTTCATGTCGCTTTGATCCAATCGATTCCCAGGATTCCATGCCGGCTTCATTTGCGCCTGACACTGAGGATTGGCACAGAGACAAGAAAATGGGATCAATTCATTATGTGGCATACATGGGTGTGTATTAGAATAGGGAGACACCATGAGACACCCGCATCAACGGGTTTCATACAAGTTTGCCGCAGTGGGTCTTTGGGAGGTCCCCCTCTTCTAGTACACACCCACATCAAGTTATATATTTGTCTTGCCAATTCCACACAACCAGTAACTCGTGACAATTGCAAAGACTCATCCATGGAGCTGTGAAGTCTCGAGTTCCCTTGGCAGCGAAACCCAAGGTTTCGAGTTTCCACGAGCCTCCACCAAACTCATCGGGAGGGGTGGGGTCTCCCTGGCCACGTCAGGTCGGTTATGACAGTCAGTGAATTGGTTCCAACGACCCAATTTCAACGATCCACCTGGCAAGAGGATGGGTCTTGCTGCCTGCGCGAGAGCAACGTTTGCGCATGTTTCCGGCGAGGCCCGACCGAGCAGATTTGACACTTCGGATTTGGTTCGTCTAAGACTGCCTTGGTTTTCACGTTGTCTTCGGCAAAGCAAATCGATCTCGAAAAAGAATAGGTTCCGCGCATACTACGTAGATACTTCTCCTTTCACCTCATATCTTCCCAATGCTGGTCTCTCATTGGCCTGGCGAAGGTGGCGCTGAACTTGTTTCCTCCAGATCAGCGCTCCCGCTTCCTGAAAACACTTGGCCAAGGATTGAGGAAATGTGAAGGTGTTATTCATGTTTGGCCAATTTCTTCTGAATCTTCAGAAGTGTAGGTGTCAATCTTGCGACTTGACTCGATTGCTTTCCTGCCCTTTGCCCACAACTCGATTGCCTCTCTCATCCTCGAAGAAAGGCGGGCCTCCAGTGCCCGCCTCATCGCGATTAGAAGACCAGTTCGAAATGCAAGTCCAAGCTGAAGCAAGACCCAGTTTGGAGGAAGAAGCCTTTTTCGGAAAGTGTTGAAAGAAACTCAGAAGAATCCTAGGCAATCTAGGAGCAAAAACCACCTGAATATGCGAGTGGCCGATTATTCTGAGGAGCAAATACCTGAGTATCCAACTTCAGCCATGGGCCAAAAGCTTGGCAAGGCTGGGGATGTAGATCTACTCCCTGCAATCTTGGCAACCAGAAACCTCTGGAAAGATGACCTCTCCATTTCTGTCTGTTGTGTCTTTCTGTCTGGTTCATCTGTTTCACCTTTTAAGTCACTGCGAGGGTGACAACTGGTGTTTTCTTTTGAAAAGGTGCGTTTCCTCTTGATCCCGCGAGCCATACCGGGAACCCGGTATGGACCAAGGATGACAAATCTCTTGGATGACGCACTTGTTGAGCACGCCTCCGAGAGTGTTTTCTAACACAGCACTAGCGTTTAGCTGACCACCTCCCCGCAGCCGAGCCTGCCGTCACCTACCAGACTTGAAAAGAGCAGCATGTGTTTGCCATGTCCATTCCTCGCTCAACTTGCAGCAACATGTTTTTTTTTGACTTTTAACTAGCAGCATCATTGCCAGGACCCAGGCATAACATTGGCAAAAAAGAAAGTAACAGGATTCACAAGCACCAAGGTGCTGAGATGCTGAGGGGCCTCTAAACTGGCTTGAGATGCGGATTTGGGAGACCAGGTTCCTCCCGGAGCTTCGGAGCTTCTGCTCAAAGTTGGATGCTTCTGAACAAGTTACCATGAGACTGTGATTCTTGAGGTCGATCTTGAACAGAGCGCGTATCGCATCGATGCAAAGGCTGTTTTATTTGTGACTCAAATTCAACACCGGTGAAGAAGGACGCCATGCACCAGCCAAGTCTATATTGAATCAAATCTGTAATTAAGGGATACAGTGCTCTCTGCTACAACTGAAATTGAGTGACTCTCCCTTGGCCGTTGCACAGTCCTGACAAGCTTCCTGCAAACGGCACCACGCCCTGCAACAACGATCCGCTCCACTCTTTGGGCGACTTCGCGAAATGCGCTACTTTGATCTTGGTGGGGCAAGCTCAAATGATGAAAATGATGCTACGTACTTTGTGCCATGGAATCACTTACATCCGTCGCTTTTCTGCCGATGTTGGCAGATGCTCGTGTGGCCGCGTTGCTGTTTCTCATGAGACACTCAAAGCTGTGCGTGCTGAGCGTGCTGTGAGTCACTGATCGCTGCCACAGTGAAATCATGCAAAAGGCAAGTGTTGGCTGGATTGCAAGGAAGACATCGCAGCATGTATGGCTGTGTCTTCTTCACCTGTTGCTTCATCGAGTCTTCTCGAGTTCCGGACTGGAAGTTGTGGTGGATCCCAGCTGCAGGGCACCTGATCATTCCACTTCGCAGGAAAAAAGGCTGCTTTGGTGTTACGCAACTTGGAAGAGTCACCTGAGTTGAGGAACCTCCTTGATTTCACCTACAGAGTCTGGCTCGCCTGATGCCGGATCCTCTCCAACACCGCATGGCCTGACATCTCTAGCGCCTGGCAATAGCCATGAGTTTGGCGGCTTGGCGCATTGGACAAGTGCAATTCTGAGATGCTGTAAACTGGACAGTGCTGGACAGTCTCTCAAACAATCAGGATTACACACTTTTTCACCAAGTGAATCGCGGGGCAAAAAGCGACCGACCGGTCGCCTGCTCCCAAGAAGTGCGATAATGCTCCATCATTGCCTCAAACAGACAGTGCATAGGCGGCATTGGTTAGTCATCCGATCACTGGGTTTGAGTCTTTTCTTGAGAAACGTGATATCTGCGTACAAAACCTTCTACAGTATCTATTCCAATTCCTTCTATTCTGAATCTGCAGAAGTAAAGGAAAGGAAATGAGAACATTACAATGAACATTGTTCGTATCAAGTTACTACACGCCAGGACTAATCTGGGGGACCAGTGCCTGTTGCTAAAGCAAAGCTGGCAGCGCAAAAGTCTACTTTTTCACGGGACTGGAAAGAGCTTTGAAAACTCTCGCAGGCCATCAGGCATCTCAAGGATATGTGGTTCAAATTCCTGGCAGAGCGTCTCAAAGTCTCTGACTCCTTGCCTTTCTGTGAAGATATCAAGTTCTGCACTTCTCGCGTTTGAAACAGCAGCAGGCTCCTCAAACACTGCATACACAAATCCCGTCCCCTTGCCTCATAATCCTCTTGACCAACCAGACCTTCTTCGGGTAAATCTTTCGAGCTCAAACCATGCGCCTTCCAGAATTTCGCCTGCGCGGAGAATTGGGGATTGAGATTGAGATGCCATGGATGCGCTACTAGTAGCTAGAAGCTATTGGGGTTGGAGGCCATCGCAAGTAGGTTGGAGGCCATCGCTATTAGGGTGGAGGCCGTTACTACTAGTAGCAAGAAGCTACTAGTAACAAGGGGTTTAAGCTGAAAGCCCACACACCACATCACGCCGCTTCACGCCGCAATTGACGGAGTGTTTGCAATCGACGGCCTGCTTTCGTATGTGATCTGCACCCGCATAGACGACGACCACCACTCGGGAGGAAGGAGTTCGCAGGATTGCCTCTGCCGTCAACAAGGCAAGAGCTACATCCACGATGCCTGAGGCCACGATGCAAAGGCCACTTGTTGGAGCATGTTGGAGCTGCATGTGCCCTTCTTAGGCCCAAAAAGCCATGTCAACAAAAACCGGAGCCTTAAAAGGCAGGTAATTCTCCAGCCAATGTGTTCAGCATGCCGTTGTTGCGACAAAAAAATGCTACAGTAGTGAGTCTAAGTCTAAGTCTAATCACAATAATTCGCGACTGATTAGTCAATTCAGAGCCAAGGAGCAAAGCATGTAAACATCAACCAGGATTTTAGCGATGACCCGCTCTCTTTTGGTAGTGATTCGTGAGTCGGGATCAAAGTTCATCAACTCCTTGAAGGCATCATGGACATTTGGGATACAGATCTCACTCAACCTGAGCAGCAAAAGGGTGGCCCCAGAATGTCCATGATGCAGGCAGCTCGTGTGGACTGTTTGATGCGTCTGCCAAACTCCAAGATTCCTCAATCTGACATCTGCAAAATCCAAGATTCATTAGACCACTAGACCACCAGAAAGTTTACTTCCAAGTGGTTCTGACCAAGGAACTTGTGCTTGCGCTGCGGTTTGCTTTCGCTGGCGACCCAACTTTTCTTCACCAGCTCGGCAGGATCGCTCGTGTCTATATCCTGGAGCACCCGGGATGACCCACCCATGTGTTCGTCTATAGTGACATCTTAAACCACGTGTGCAGCAAAGAGCTATTGACTGACTGGAACGATATGTCCTCCACATTCCAAACCAAACTCATAATACCCGTTTGTTCTTGCTGAATTTCTCAGCCTTCCCACATCTGCAGGCAATGTGTGTTTCACAAATGCACTTTGGTCTTCTCCCATCGTTTGTGCTCCTCGTAAATGTGAGGATGGCATTCTCTTAGCCATGCCTGAAGCGGCTCGAAACCGCTGTTAACTCTTCAATGCTGAGACAGTTATATTATGTTGGCCAGAAATATTGGCCAGACACCCAGCATCAGCCCGAGAGTTGTCTTCTTCAGCGAAGCAAGTAGCAAAGGACACGTCCAAGAACACGTCCTGAAAACCCTTGTTTTGCGGACTTTGGCACGCCATTGCTCCAATCAAACATGTCTTGAGGGCATCACGCTGCAAAAAGCTGGAACTTCCATTAACTTCCAAGCACTTGAAGCTAGCGTCCAACCGATTGATGATGATGATGATGATGATGATGATGACGATGATGATGATGATGATGATGATGTGCTTCCCTTGCGCGAAGCACAATAGCA